ATTTAAATCATCCAATACTTACGTAATTACACGGTTTAAATTTTGATTAAATTTAATAAAATTATTCAATTAATATTAATACAGTATGAACGGACTCCATTATTGAACTTAAATTGCTTAATATTGCCGAATGCCGAAATTCGGCATTGATCATTTTTTAAGTTAATACGTCCGTAAAATTATTATTTATACATAAAAATATACTAAATTAATTGCAGNCGGATTAAGTACGTTATACGAGGCACCACTGTAATAGAACCCACTTTTCAAACATTTTCAAAAAATGGCCTCTGAAAATTTAGTGTTTAGCTTATAAGACTTTGGAAGTTTCATATCCAAGATCAGTGATAGCCAAGTGAATAAGGTGCAAGGCACTGGAGCTAGTTAATGGTCACCCTCTTTGAAGCTTAATAACTACTGTGCTTTTTGTCAATCTCTGAAAGTTTGCAAGGAGGTTTGTGTATTAGGGAGATTGATGCTATTAAATTTTGGTGATTAAAGGTTGAGGAAGTGGGGAGATAACGGGTCGTGTATTTCTCCAGTAGGATCAAATTAATGACAATTTTACTCATTATTAGTATTTACAACTTTTTACAAAACCTGTCCCTACCCTCAAAATTAATGTTTTTGCCATTTTATAATAGTTAAAAATATAAAATTTTTAAAAAATAAAATATCATAACAGATGGACCACACACAGTTTTAAATGTTGCCAGGAAAGTTGATCACAATGTTTAAACAGTATTTCATAGGTTCTGCCATGTCAAAAATTTTGTTTTAGTCTACTGTAAAAAGATCAAAGAAAAATCATCCCAAAAAATTTCCCAAAATGTCTATCAGTTGATAAAAAATTCCCCACTCTGGAAACATTGGGTAGCATTGCACAAAACTGCCTTTGGTTCTCAGGCTAATATCAGATGAGCATGAAAATGCATGGACACTTTTTTTGATTCACAGACAGGAAGGTGATGGTCAAATGAGTGCTATTTTTCAGGGAGCATGTTAGTAATCAGTTTCATTTCAGACATGTGTGTATGTCAACATGGATCTCATAGATTGTAATGTGCTATATTTTTTAAACCTACACAAGTATTTAAAAGCAAAAAAATAAAAAAGATGTAGGTAGATGTTGGAATGTTGGATATGTCTTTTTGATCATAACTGGCCTTCTTTTTTTTTGTTATTTCTGTTTTCAAAGTCCAAATGAAGTTTTTCTCAATTCTGGTCTCTCAATAATTTGTATGATCATTTTACTAATATCCATGTCCAGTTTTTAGAATATGTGGATACTGTATGCCCTTCAGCTGAAACAACACATACCTGGTACTTCCTGGAAACAATGTTAACACATCTATTGTTTTTCACACTCGGACAAGTGTGAAAAACAATCTGTAGGCTTCAAGTGTATATCCCAGCATGCAGTGGTCATGCGATGTCATGAGATTATCGTGGATGATCCAGCGGCCTGTCCTTGCCATGCAATATGATTTTTCATGTCTGCATACATCTAACATCTCCTGTATGTTTTATGCAATCCCATGACATTTGTCAAAAATGATGGATGTGAAATCACCCTCATTTGAAATTAGCCTCAATGTCACTTTTTACTTTTCTGCCCAAACTTGCCACATTGACATCATGAAATTGCTACATGTGTGGTGCATGATACTCCTGCTGTATGGAAGTTCGACATTTTGTTGTTTTTCCTGAAGTGTGATTTGTGATTAATTTCACACTTAATGTCAAAACAAGTAGACTAGAATTTTTATTGCTACTTGTTATCTCCAGTATTATATTTTTACCTCCATTTTAATAAAAATATCTCCAAGTTGCAATTTTGGCATTATGCAGTGTGACCCTACCTTAACTCTTTTAATTGAAGCATTTTGCATCATCATGCTGTTTTATCAGTCATGTAAGTTAATTTATAGTTGAGTCTATGGTGTGCTTATTGAATTTACTCTCCATGGAGAGGTGTCCAGATATAAATATTAGCACAGTTAATTTGTATAACTGAAGTTCTTAAGGAAATTCTGGATATAAATTTAATATTCAGATGAATGTATTCTTAGAGATGCACGAAGAAAACATATATTATATATTTAAATTACAATTATTGCAGTTTGTGCTTTGATTTATTTGTTAAATTAATATTAATCACTTTGCACTAAACATATTATGCTATTAACAACAGATGTTAATAAAATTAAAAACTCTGAAAAATGATAGAACATTATTTTCAATACTAAAATTTATTTTGCTGTTGAATAATTAATTTAGGCTCTATACATATGAAATCTCTGTTGCTTAAAATTCCAGAAACTATTTTTCAAATTGTGCATTCAATGGCTCATGCTATATTTAGGTAAAAAGTCTAGTCCAAATTATTGAGGATCAATATTTCAATAATTTAAAACTCAAACTTTTTATATTCATGCCTGATATAAGTTAATCTTTTATTCTCTTATATTGAAAAACAATAACTAACCAATGTAATATAGATATTAACTGAAAACACTTATATGTACAGTATAGAATTTTGAACTATTTACTTAGTCTTTTGATTTCAAATAATATTTTTAATTTAAAATTCACATAAAATAATTTTAATCTCATATGAAACATTTTCCTCATTAAACATCTGTTTATCTTAAGTATGCTATCAGTATGCAAAAACCTGATTTTATATATATTTCAAAAGTATTTCATATTAACAGTTTTTTAACAGATGTTATCACTTTATTTTGTTTGATTCATGGAACTGCTGAGTTATTAATTTATAATTTATTTTAAAAAATGAATTAAATAATCAAATTTTGTATTTAAAATTATTTAAATTATCATCAGATAAAAAGATATACAGTAGAGCGTCGATTTTCCGAATCAATTGGGGACTGGGGTTGTCCGGATAACTGATTTACGTACGAAAAATAGTTTAACATATCCAATGTCGAAATTTTTCTCCGTTGCGTGTCGCTTCGCATTGAGTTTTCGTCGNAATTTTTATCCGTTGCATGTTGCTTCGCATTGAATTTTCGTTGATGTTAAGCCTAACAAAGACTATTGTATCGTTAAAAATTATTTTTTTATTTTGTACAAACAAAATAAATATATTGAAAAATATAAAAATAATAAAAAATTATACTTCAGAAGTTAATTTAGTATCAAAAACGTAAAATATTTGAGTAGCCCAAGACATAGCCAAAGATTGAAGCACCACAGCACTGGCGAAAATTTAAATTTGCCGACTGGAATTCTTTCTGATGATTGACATTTCAGATGATTGACTTTCGGAAAATCGACGCTCTACTGTATTAGATATCCTAAAAGATATGCTTGATCCTGTATTAAAAATATGAAAATGGTTTAAATGTAGATGAGTATCAAATTCCTTCTATCAGATTTGATTTAGATTGATCTTTATTGTTTTATATCAATAATTTAATTTTTTTCATTATGTAGATCTAGAAATACAGGTATCCCTCATTCAGCACAGAGCACTTCTATAATATGGTTTGTAAATTGGGAAAATCCCCCATATAACACTGTTTCTTGTTTTGCTCTAACATGATTTGGGAAATTTTCCAAACAAAATTTCACAACTTTTAAGTCTAAACTTTCAATTTATTCTGTGCCTTTTGTCAAGTTTACTTTAATGAAAATGGATAGTAGAATATTTTTATTCTTTGTCCTAGCTTTCCTATCAACCAGGTGTCACCATCATTGCTTTCAGACTGTAGCTTTTAAGACTGTCACTATATTTTGTTTTTATAGATTAATCTTTGTATTTAGTAAAGTTTATTTAAACATTTTTAGGTAAGTACTGTTAACCTTTTTATAATTGTAGGTAAGTAATCATTTGTAAAAATGATAATGAAATACAGTGGTATCTTGGTACTCAAACTGTTCCCAACTTGAACAATTCAGTATTCGAACACAAATTCTAGAAAAAAAAAATCACTTGGTACTCATCTGAACAAACACAACTCACTTGAACAAATTTTCAATTAGTAATATATTTTTTATTTTGTCATTCATGAAAACTTTTATGAAAAAAATTTTTAAAAAATGAAGACATTGCTGATATNAAATCCCCCATATAACACTGTTTCTTGTTTTGCTCTAACATGATTTGGGAAATTTTCCAAACAAAATTTCACAACTTTTAAGTCTAAACTTTCAATTTATTCTGTGCCTTTTGTCAAGTTTACTTTAATGAAAATGGATAGTAGAATATTTTTATTCTTTGTCCTAGCTTTCCTATCAACCAGGTGTCACCATCATTGCTTTCAGACTGTAGCTTTTAAGACTGTCACTATATTTTGTTTTTATAGATTAATCTTTGTATTTAGTAAAGTTTATTTAAACATTTTTAGGTAAGTACTGTTAACCTTTTTATAATTGTAGGTAAGTAATCATTTGTAAAAATGATAATGAAATACAGTGGTATCTTGGTACTCAAACTGTTCCCAACTTGAACAATTCAGTATTCGAACACAAATTCTAGAAAAAAAAAATCACTTGGTACTCATCTGAACAAACACAACTCACTTGAACAAATTTTCAATTAGTAATATATTTTTTATTTTGTCATCCATGAAAACTTTTATGAAAAAAATTTTTAAAAAATGAAGACATTGCTGATATTCTTGATCAAGATCAACAAAAAAGCTCAGAAGATGATATACTTTGTAAAAAGAAAATGCCCTCATTAATATTAATATTAATGCATAATACATTATTTTTAATTGTGATTGTTAGTTAATTATTGATTACTTAAATAAACATATGTCTCATAGTAATGAAAAAGAATAGTATACTGTTGTTAATGTTTGGAACCCTATCTTTTGCACTAGGCCTTTGTTTCATACAGCATGGTACTTTTTGGGAATGCAACTATTGTGTTATATGAGGGATACCTGTATTTGTTTCAAGAAATTTATTATTTTTTCACTAACTTTAAAGTAATTTTTAAAATTTATTTTATTCTGTGTTTTTAGCTGTTCATAAAATGACTCCTTTCAAAAAAGAAATCCATGAGGTACTCTGTTCTGTCTTATCAGGATCTGAATATATTGAAGATCATATTTATACACCATATTATTATCGTTTAGGTAAATATTAATTTTAATAAAATAAAGATTTGCTTCAATATTTTAAATGAGGAATTAATGATTTATAAAACAAGTTTATTGTTAAAAATTTTTTAATAGTATTTTTAAGTAAATATTATAATAGTCAGGGGTTGCTCTGGAAAATTTAAATATATTGTCAACCATTTTGCCAATTTTAATTTTTTTTCATCACTTCAAATTATTTATCACCACCAGTTTTACTTATTAATTAAATTAATGCAGCTGCCAGTAGCCTTATCAATTTGGCATCGGGAAAGCAAAAGTAAGCTGCAAAAAAGCACAAGAAGAAGGCTGGATGTTTGTGTCTCTGATTCAAATGAAACTTGGTAAGCACATAGTCTTAAACACAAACAGCTCCTTGTCCAAATAATAGGGCCCACTTCTCAAGCATTTCCAAAAATTGGGCCTCTGGAAATTTAGTGTTTAATTAATTTATAAGTCTTTGAAAATTTCATGCTCTGAGTGGATAAGATGCTAGGCACTGGACCTAGACAATGTAGGTTTGAACCTTCCAAATTTTAGTTTGGGTTTTTTTATGTGTAACCTAATTATTTTATCACATCATTAGCATTATTATTACTATTATTATTCCTCACGTTTAAAGCTTATAAAACAAAAGATTAAAAATTGCAACATTATTTCTCATTTAGCAAAAACAAGTCTCTCTAGATTTAACTTTTACATTGTTAAATAAAAGTTTTATTTCTTTATATTTATTTCAAATATGGTGGTATTGTGATATTTGAAGTGTAACAAACATCATTGCATGAAGAAATTGTCCACAATATTAACTATTAAAAAAATAAAATGCTGTGACTATGCTACTTTATTTTCATATCACTTGTCTTTTTAAATTAAGTTAATATATATATAGAGTTTTCAGGAAAACTGTTACTATAAATGGTGAATAAAATGTATGATATATATATATATATATAGAGAGTTTTCAGGAAAACTGTTACTATAAATGGTGAATAAAATGTATGAGCTAATGTGTCATTATATATTATGTTTATAGTTATGCATATACTTGTACAATGTGATTCAGTCAGAACTGAACAGTTACTTTGTTCAATACCTCATGATTGCACAGTCACATTTGAATAACATGTAATGTAAAACACCTTGGTTGACTGCTTCTTTATTAAATAAATAATTGTTCCATTTGTTTTCAGGCTCATCTTTTCATTTTATACAGAGATATTCCACATAATGAGTGTTGTGTTCAGTTAAGAGTGAACCACTCTGTATATTAAAGTAATTTTTTTTTTAAATGCATCATTTAAAAAATTTGTTGAATGTTGAAATTCTATTTAGTTATTTTTTCTAGATTTTGAATGCAAATTGGATAAAGATAAAAATCCACTTCCTTATTCCAAACAAGAAATATTTAAACCTAAAGTGTATAATCAGCCATTTTCAACAGCACATCAAAGGTAAGCTTACCAAATAACTTTTTCTAAAGGCTGATTCACATCTATGGATAAAATTATGGAATGAGTATCAATGACAGAATGAACCAGTTAGTTTTTATTGTTAAAAATGTAAGAGATAAACTAGTTATTGATGTTAATTACCTTAATTTTGTCACTTCAACTTTAAACTTAAGAAAAATATGTTAAAATCAAATATGTTATATTTAAATTTAAAATAGAAATTATAATTTATTTGACTAAAATTTTAAATATTTTATAGAATTGCCTTTAATTGCTTAGCTGAGGAGTCATTCTGTGTTAATATGCCTCAGCTTTGTGGAAATGAAATTATGAAACGTAGACACTTGGAAATTCTGGGCTACAAAATTGTTGAAGTAATTATAAATTAAATTATTATTATTAAAATTATTTATTAAATCAATTGTTTTAGTTAAATAATTTTTTTGGTTTTACCAACAAAATTTAATTAATATTAACAATAATATGAAAACTTACTGAAATTCATATTCATAAATTTATCTAAATGCTAGTATAGAATTAATATATTTTGCAAGCCTGTTGTAAGTTTTTTGTTCATACAATTGAGAACTATCTGTAATTAGAATTGATGAATTTCAAACTCATTATTGGCAATCTATAGATGAAATCAATATCATTTGCATATATAAGTATCTCTCGTACAACACTGTTTCTGGTTTTGTTCTAACATGGTTTGGGAATCCTCCATGCAAAATTTTACAATTTTTAAATGTAAACTCTGTTATTCAATATATTTTCTATTCAAGCAAGCATGCATACATGTTGTCTCAAATGTGCCCATGGATTTTAGAATATTGAAATTTTCAATTTGTTCTGTGCCTTTATTCAGGTTTACTTTAATGAAAATGGATAGTAGAATATTTTTATTCCTTGTCCTAGCTAACTAGGTATCATTGTCATTGCTTTCAGACTTTAGTTAACACTGTCACTGTGTTTTGTTTTTATAGATTAATCTTTGTATTTAGTAAAGTTTATTTAAACTTAGTTAAGTAATCATTCATAAAAATGATGAATGAAATATGGTGGTATCTTGGGACTCAAACAATTTGTTATTCAAAAACAAATTCTGGAAAAAAATTTGCTTGTACCTCAACTGAACAAATGCGATCTGCTAGAACAAATTTTTGATTAATAACATGTATTTTTATTTTGTCATCTAACTATGATAAAAATGATCAAGATCAACAAAAAAGCTCAGAAGATGATATACTTTGTAAAAAGAAAATGTCCCCATTTAACTAAAATTAATATTAATGCATAATGCAGTAGTTTTAATTAATTTTGATTATTAGTTAATTTTTGATTGCTTTAATAAACATACGTCTCTTAGTAACGAAAAAGAATAGTATACTTTTGTTAACTTTTGGAACCTAACCCTATCTTTTGCACTAGGCCTTTGTTTCATATAGCATGGTACTTTTTTGGAACATAACTACTGTGTTATATGAGGGATACCTGTATATTTATACACAATGTTTTTGGAACAAGGTCTTTATTGCAATATGATTGCTCTAAAAAAAATCAGAAAATTTACTAACATAGGTAATCTTAACTTGCATTACAGACTTTTTATGATCGATAAATTAATTGATTAGAACATAATTGATTTTTAGCAGTTCTAAATATTTTATTTTAGTAATATAAAATCTTGTAAAACATTAATGAATGAAAATTACTTTTTTATAACATATACATGACACAAATACTTAATACAGAAATAAAATCACACAAAGAATGAGAGAATTGGAAGTAAATAAAATTTAATTCAGATTTTAAATATTAAAATTTTTCAAAACAAGAAAATTTTGACTTTAGGAATTAATCCTAATAAAAATTTGATTTTATATTAATGATTGGAAGTGGAATGTCTTAAACTGCATCAATTTACATCAATATGAGTTTGTAAATTGATGGATAAGATGGATGAGTTTTTTTCTTTGATGCCATTTCTATTTATACTGGGATAATCTTAAAAATAGATGATAATATAGCTGGTATTTATGCCCACTTTCTTTTGTCAGAAATTGAAATTCAATTAAAATGATATATCTGTTAACTTTATATTTTTTTATTGAATACAAAGAAGATAGTTCATCAATTAATAAAACTTCATTTGAATATAATATTTGTTACTGGAAGTATTATGCCTTTTACCTGATTTTTTTTGTTTCACTTCACTATTAAAACAAATATTAAAAAATGCTTACTGCCTGTTTGATAAATTATAAAATAAGATCATGTAAGTTAAATTGTTATAATTTTCACTTTTGACTGATTTGAATGAAAATGTTACCATATTTGGAAAAATGGAAATTAATTAGATTTTGAACTTTGTTGATGAACTGGTTTTAAGTATCAAATTGCTAAACAAACTGTTTATGTCACAAAACTAGATGTGATTTATCATTCTTTTTTGTTTCAGATACCATATTTTGAGTGGAATTCAATGAAACTATCAAGCAAAACAGCTAAAAGTGACTATCTTTATAAAAAGATTTTTCATTCTTAGCATTATACTGTTGTATAGATTGAATTATTTTCTTTAAAATAAATTATTTTAATTATAATGATATCTGTATTTAAAAAGTGTTATCATCAATTCATGCAGAGTTCCCCTCACCAGATAAACTAGGAAATGTCAGGAAATTTTTAAATAGCCAGGAAAATTATATTTAGTGTAAAGGTGGGGAATTCATTTATTTTTCTGAAAATTTAAAGAAAGAAAGATTATAAAAACAACCAATTACTGGTTAATATTAATAAAAAAAAGCTTTACTATGTCACTAACCAGCAAAAGAACCACTTACCTTTTCAGAAAGAAAGATTGATAGTTTTGGAATAAAGGAATTTTTTTAAAGTTAAAAAATGTTTTAAAATCATTTTTCATTCTGTGATGTCACATATATGGGCATTAGTGATGTGCCGGATATCCGTATCCATATCTGTATCCGTATCCGTTACTTTTTAGCGGATCTTTAACGGATCTTTTATCTTAATGAATTTCATTACTTATATGAAATTTTAAAGATAGGTAGCAATAGCACATTTGTCATTTACTATCGTAAAATATTTCCATATTACACTACTAAATTTTTTTGTCGGCATTGTTTTTATTTTAATTTAACTCAACACTCTCCAAAAACACAAACGTAATCTACGCTATCCCGTGTCACACTAGCCACAAACCAGTGTTTCCCAACGTGGGGCCCACGCCCCACAGGGAGCAATTGGATTGCTAAGGAGGGCAATTCGAAAATGGACTTGTACTTGTCCAGAGTTTAAGTTAACAGTATAGCCGCTGTATATGTTAGGGAGACTAGAATTTTAGAAAGGCTTAGGTGGGGCATAGCAAAAAAAGGTTGGGAAACACTGCACTAAACTATTGTGGCGGTACGCTATATTTTTGTAAATATTAATTTTAGTTTAGTTTCGTTTCTTCTTTCTACCCTTTGTTCTATTGTTCTATTTTCTTCTAAAACTTTCTTATCTATTCTCTGTCCCTTGGCTGGGATAAGCAGTTCCTAGAACTTTGAGGAGCAAAGGTGTAAACAGAAGCCGGAGAAAAAAAAGAAGTGACGTAGCAGATCATTCGTAAACTGGACAGCAGAGTGTACGGACGAGGTGAGAATACTGGGAGTCGTATTTTCAATGACCGGATAGTTCAGAAAAAAGATCGTGTTTTAAGGTCGTATTGACGACTGTGGAAGAAAAAATCCTAATTATTGAAGAAGAGAACTGGCCAGTTATAAGAGAAGGGCGTGTGTTATCCCACCCAACAGTATGCATAAAGAAACAAGCCGAAAAAAGGGACAAAACCCCAGATATCTCTATTTCTATCTTATCTATCATTTTTTCTGTCTTCTTAATTCTATCCCTTTTTCTGTTATTAGTGTTAAGTTAGTGTTTAAGGTTAGTTTTAAGGTTCCGGGTTATATTGTCGCGATCGGGATCTGTATTGTACACGTGATTTGGATACAGCGAACTATTATTATCGCTGTAATTTCGCATGCTACTGTTTGTACCGTGAAGTTGGAATCCCCCGAAATAGAATCTGTATAAAGACGCAAAAAAGCTCAATTGGAAAATTATATTAACTTTTGTTACTTTATCCTGTCTGCCTTTGTGGTGAATTCTAATTTAGCACATTTTTACACCATAAACAAAAACACGCGCAGTGCAAGTCAAAACATGTCGCGTTATTAACGCAAAGCGTCAACTATCGGTCCAAGGTCACACGCACTGGCGCCGACTGAGTACGAAAGTTGAGATCCGTATCCATATCCATATCCGCGGATCTAGACACGAATGATCCATATCCGTATCCATATCCGCGGATATACATTTTTAACGATCTGGCACATCACTAATGGGCATACAATATAGAATTTCAACCAATGATATTGCTGTTTTACATAATTATGTAATGTAAAAATGAAACAATTGAATTAATTTAATGGTCATGCACAGATTTTTGTTAGAATAGAAGTTTTTGGTAAAATTCTAACATTATCATTTGATTACACACATTAGTGAGTTATGCATTGGTATTTTTGCTGTTTTAAATGCTTAATTATAGTTTTATAAACAGTCTTAGTGCTTAAAGGTATGAGCAAAGTCTTCCATTAAATACTTACATTATAAAATAATTTTAATGGTAGCCAATCAGGATAGTTATTTGCTTATAATGAGGACAATAAGATGTAACTAAAGATTTATATCACTTTTCAAACTTGGGGAGTGAGAAGACAACACAATTTCATAAAGCTTTAAGGCAAGGTGAGGTATGATTAATTTGTCTAATGAATTTTATTATTTGAAATTATAAAATATTAAAATCAAACATGGCCATTTTCATTTTCAGAGAAAATGTAGATTCAGAATCATTATCAAGTGTTTGCTCATGGCCATCGTGTGTTACTATCTATAAAAATCAGAAATAAAAATTAGAATCTAAGAATTTTCATTAGTAAAGAAATTTTTGTTATTAAAATACACAACAATGTATATTATTCTATACAGATATTTTATTAAACTGCAGAATTTTTGTTTACAACTTACACTAATTAGTAAATCAAATGGCTAACAAAAAATTGCACAAGCTATCTACAAAAATACTTTTTCTTGATATGTCGAGAAATTTGATGCTATTTACAATAACAAATAACACTTGTAAATTAATTACGATCTGAATTTATTTAAATATAATTATACATTCGAAATTTTCGGATATTTCAATACATATGATGTGTTATTACTGCACTATCATACAGAAATAATTACTAAACTTGGTAATTACTTTTTGGGCTTTTGAGCCTTTAACACACAATGGGAAATTGAGGGGGGAAATAAACATGTAAAAAGTTTTAGATTTTCAATTAAATTACAGTTTTTAAACAATAATTAACAAATATTTTCAATCTAAAAAATTTACTAAAGTATAAAAAACATGGTTTACTTAAATATAACTTTTACACTTTTTACAATGGGCCAAGTAATGTAGCAAAGAATTTTATCTCAATTTTATCACCATTGTTTAGAATAATTTACATAAAATTTATTTGACTGGGTGCATAAGGTGGCTCCATGTGATTATAAGTTTCAAATGCAGAATCAAAANAAAGTTAAATGTAATGCAAGAATTTTAATACTAAGAAAAAATGTAAATGATGTTATTAGGCTAGCATTTAGGTTAAAAAATGTAATGGTATGCTATGTTATGATATGTAATCATAACTGTAAGATAATTTAGTTGTACAGAAGCCTCTATACATTGGACAGGTTTATTGTATAAACCACAGGGATATCTCCTTTTACACTGCATTTAGATCCCTACATTTCCAAAAAAATTGGCAATAGCTGTGTTGTGGACCCTTCTAACTATTGAGGCATTGTCTCAAAGGACTTTGTTACCTTACTGTATAGAAAATAATGAAAGTGAGGTTGATTAGAGGTCTTTACTAGTCATATTGATGATCTTTGACTAGCACAAGTAGAGGATGAGAAGCAGTACAAAGCTTGAACTATTGTACAGTGACTTGTGTGGACTTATGCAAGTGAGAACCCCTGGTGGAAATAGATATTACATAACGATTATAGACAATTATAGTGGTTATACCAAACTTTATCTGTTGAATCACAAGTCTCAGGCTAATGTAAAAATAAAAGGAATATGTAAACTATGTTGAAACACAAATGGGATGCAAGGTGAAAAAGTTTTGATCTGATAGAGGGACTGAGTACATGAATGAAGACTTGTGTAAATTTTTCAAAGAAGATGGTATTAAAGTTCAGACCACAGCACCAGATTGCCCTCAACAGAATGGCAAGTCAGAACGAAAAATTACTCTCTCTGTAAAATGGTAAGAACAATGTTGCATGATGCAGGATTAAGAAAATGCTACTGGGATGAGGCATTAATGACAGCAAATCATATCCAGAACAGATTACCATCAAAAAGGGACCCAATGAGAAATGGCAAGGTAAGAAGCCAAATATTGAGTACTTCCGCCATTTTGAATGTATTGCTTTCACGAGTTCGTTTTGGGATAAGAAAGAAACTTGATGTAACAAGATTTGTGGGATATGAAAGTGGCAGCAAGGCATATTGATTGCTGGGTATCGTAATCAAGAAAATCAAGATTAGTCGTGACGTTGTCTTCATAGGAGGAGATCCACATGCAAATGTTGTTGGAAGCAAGTGGATATATAAAATTAAACATGATCCACGTGGTAAAACGGCAAGATACAAAACAGTATGTACTAGAAACACGTTAAATGTGCTAGACAACTTGACTTATGACTGTAAGCAAAACGGGACAAATCATTGATGGGGAGTGTTAAATTTCTCTCTTGTCATTACCTATGTGTGACAATGATTTGTGTTATCTTTTATTTGTTTCATTTTGTGTTAAATGAATAAACGGCCATGAGATGGCGTCTCTGTCAAGCCCGTCACTTTTCTGGTTGAGTGTAACTTTATGTCGTGTATGATTTGTATGTACTGTACTTGTAATAAGGTATCCTAGTCTCCATTTGTAAACGCATAGGTGATATATTTAACATCCATAATGCAGGATCAGAAATAATTTTGTTTAATATCTGCTGGCTGCCACTGCTACTGCTACTCGGCTCTTGATGGTGTTATTTTTTGGATATCTTCAACAACTTATGAAAGTGATTGGAGCTGCACTAAGTTTTCATTTGCCAAATTTAAAGCAGACGCTGTTGATCTGGATGTAGACGGCTCATCTAAACAGGACTTTTGTACTAAGGATTTCTTCATAACATAGCTTAGTTTTTTTCCTTCTTCCCTTTTCTGTAAGCGTTTCTTTTTATATTGACTTCCAGACAATTTTTTTCCTTTTCTGTTCCGTACTGTAATAAAAATCAGTGGCGTGCCGTGACATTTGATGATAGGGAAGCTGTGTTTCTGTAAGAAGTCGACTTCCAGGGACAATCAGTTAATTCTTTAAATGTATTTTTAATAGATTATTTACCTGACGTAATTAATAAATATACAAGTTCAATATAATTACCTCTTATTAGATTTAATAGATTCCCTATGCCCTCTAAATGCCAATTCTTGCTTTGATAAAAACATATAACATCTATTTATTTAGATATAATATATCTATAAACTGTAACTATCTCGTTATAATTTTCAATATTTATTTTACATTATTTACTAATGTTAAATTCTATTCTGCTTTGATTTCCAAATTGCTTCAAATACGAAAGAATCGACGATTTTTCGTGTCTTTTGCCAGTTAAATTGTCAAAGCCATTCTTATTCCACACACTAATTTCATTTGAAAATAGTAGGCAAGCCAACAAAACAATTTTTGCATTTTTATGCATTTACAGAGCCATTTTATCGCGAAAATGTCGAACAAATTTTTTTATTATTGAATTGTTTACATTTAACTTAGGTATTGGCCTTTCTCTTTTAATAATGTTTTCTTTTTCATTATATGATCTCGAGCCAAAACTTTTTTAAAATAAATTTTCAATATCGCAATTACATTCCGAATCGCTAGCCACGATATAAGGGCTAAAATTAAAAATAAAATTATAAAAACTTACTTGGTGAAATAAAATGTGTGGTGGATATACATACCTGGTACAAAATATTCTTCAATTGTATGAATATACTTTTAAAGAAAATTATAATTAAATATAGCTTTGTAATGAAACGTACATAAAAATAACATAAAATATTCTTTACTCTTTAAATCTTAACCACTTAGTCAAATAGCTCCCTACGAGTGGAATCAGAGACGGTCCTGCTAGGTGTGCGGTGTGTACAGTACATGCACGCGGGCTGCCAAATCCCGAGGGTGCCGATACCCTCGGGATTTGGCAATGTCAAATGTTTCTTTTGTCGCATCACTAATATACCTCAAAAGACGCGACAGGGTTCTTGTAAATTTTAAACGTTTCTCACCATAGCTGTAAAAGTCTAAATATGTTAAACTTAATAGATTGTCCGTCGTTTGTTTTCTAACTAATTCGTTTTAGGACCAGGTGTTGTCCACGGAAATTTCCAAAATTTACAACTTTTCGGTCACTCTCGTCGAACTGGAAAAATTTCTGTCTTTATTACATCTAATACAGTATTTCGAAGAAATCAGTCCCCACTGTACTCGGCTATAGATTGGTTCGGTTAAGCTTTTGTTTAAGTAATATTCCGGCTCTTTCATCAGGGTTTTGTTTATGTCCCCAATTCCCTAATCGCTTAATTATTTAACTACTTCTTAAGTAGAAATAAGTCGAAACCAGTTACTTTGTACTCGAATATTTGTAGTCTCGGGAAAAAGTGGAAAGACAAATTTTTATGACAAACGGATACATAAATCGTAAATTTAAGGAAAATAAATTCTAGAGCTTTTTCTGTACCTCGCGCATCTCTCTCATTCATTAAATTTAGTCGTAAATGATGTTACAAAGTAACAGTTAAATTTTTAACATTATACAAAAATTGTACACGTATTTTTTCTACATCCCCTTAAAGATGGGACATACGAAATCGTAATATCACTGGTTTAACATTGAAATCCGTAAGTAATATAAAATCGGAGAGCGGAATAAAAATATCAAATATTTTAATGGATTTTTAACTCCTGTCAACTATACAGAACTATCATAAAAACATACCAGTAAATTCTTATCGGTTGGGTTAAGTTATAAATCTCACGATTCGCGTAACCGGGCGAGGGCGGCCAAATATCTAGCGGGCGGGCGGCTACAGCCCGGAACTGGTCCCGGATAGAATTGGAAGCGTTGGAAAGTGTAGCATCCACCCAAGGTCCTAGGCTTCCACCGGCTAAACCGGGTGAGGTTTGTGCTCTGTAAAGCGCATGCACGAATCTGGCTTTTTGGATGCTGACAATACAGCGCTTCCACTCCGCCACTAATATTCGAATATACAATAGCAATATGTTTTTTCACGTGTAATGTAGAAATTTGTAATAAGATACATAATGCGGTTATAATAAAATATTGTGCGATTATTTTCATATAATTAAAAGTAATATGTATTTATTTTTTAGAAAATACAAGGGAAGCGGCGCATCCACCGCTTCCAATGACGGCACGCCATTGTTAGAGAGATCTCTCTCGATCTTTAGCTTTAGGTTAGGTTAGAATATAGGATAGATTTTTACTTTTATTACGCGTGTGTTATATTTATTGTCTTTGATATGTATTATCTCGTATTTGTTTATTAAATGTGTTAATATTGATCAACTCGTGTAGTTATCTGGACACCTTGTCACGGCCTCACGACTCCTCCCCACTCAAATTTTTGCCCTCCTAAGCCATCCGACAACCGAGAGCGGGTCTTTCTAACCCGTGCAGAGTAAGTGGTCATTAGGGATCTTCCCAGTGGTCCCCTGCTAGCTCACAATGCACTGTATTCTGTCAAGATGTTTTTACTCTTAAAACGCAATTACACAAAATGTTCCCTCGCTGCCTCATACACAAATAACGTAAGTTGAAAAATTAACAGTAATTTGATTTACAATTTGAAAATTCCAAGACAACTTTTAAACGGTTTTTAAAACATTGTTTTAATTTTCAACTGATTTGATTTTAATTTTATTTTAAAATTTTAGTTTAGGTTTTAGTATAAAGGCCAGTTTTTATTACTATTATTTTTAGGTTTAATTTATTTAGTATTAATTTAGTTTTAGTTTTTATAATTATTTTTAATATTTATTTATATATTTAATTTTGCCTGCATTTTTGAACCATGCAATTCTTTAATTAATTGTAACTCTTTTTTTTGTTACATAATTATAAGAATTGTTTGTGTTGTTTCCCATAAAAGATAATTATTGTTAACATTTATTTTAATTATTTTAGTAATTTTATTAATTTTTGTTTTATAAATTTGCCTGCTTTTTAAAAAGTTTTTAAAATTTAAAATTTTAATTATAAGCGAGTTAACATTGAACTATCGGGCTTCCTAGTATGGTTTTAAACAAAAGATTGTAATATTTCCGTGTAATCACGTTATGGGTGCCTGTCAGGTATCATTATTAATGATTATTGCTCATAAGTTTTTTATTGGAAGAAAAAAGATATTCTGAATTACCTGTGTAATAACTGTTGTAGGAACAATAAGAAATAGCTTATAAATGTTTTTCTAAATGTCTAAATTTATTTTAGCTATTTTATATTTGATTAATTTGCCTCTCAAATTTCTAGAGATATCAAATAATAAATATGAATGCTTTGTTTAATCGTAAATGAATGCAACAATTAAATCACAAATGATAATTAGTTTAATTTCAAATTTATTAATTTTAAAATTTACAAGGAAATAATTTTGTAACACATTATTTTATGAATGTTTTTTAAATTATGCAAATTATAAAAAAAAAAAGTTGCATTTAGTTGGCTATTTCACAGTATTTGTTCGTTCCTGGTGTTACTTAATTCGCTGCAGCGGTTGAATTTTTCATTTTCTTCTATACAGAAAGAATTTTGCAAAATTTCTATAAGAGATTTATAATCAGAAGTTTTCTCGCTTGGTATTTGTAAGAGCAAGTCTCGAGCTTTACCAGTCAGACTGGCTGCCAGGTAGGCTCCCTTCTGCTCGTAATTCCATTGGCGGGTTTTTGCTATTGTCTCGAATTGAACCAGATAACTGTTCCAGTTATCTGCACCACAGTATGACACAGGCATTAGATCTTTATAAACATTCGAGAAACTGTCTTCTACTTTGTTTACTCTCTCTTCTATCATTTTGGTTTCCTGATATAAATTGCTTGAGAGATTTTTTAAATTATTGATTTCATTTGATAGAGTGTTTAGAACATTTTCAATCATTTTTATTTTTTGGGTGATGATAACTAAATTTTCTTCAATAAGTATTTTATATAATTGTATCTCGTCTAATGTAATCAAAAAGTCACTCCAATAAACTAACGTTTGGAACCCTCTGGCCATATCATCACGTGTCCAACCATACGAAATCTGAAAGAACAAACGAATTCTCATTAAATGTATATACAGTAGCTCTTCAATTTAATGCACTTCTGATTTAACAGACAAAAGATTTGTCTTAACAAATTGCAAGTAGAAAAGATAAAATTTATACTGCCGGATGGCCGAGCGATCAAGGTGGCAGCCTTGCGCTCTGAGGGACCGAGATAGAATCCGGACGGGTCGAAAAACCCTCAGGAATTTTTGGAGTGGTGGTCCGTCCCTCACCACCCAGCCGTCCCTTTATGGGCTTGGCTGAACCCATAATGGGCTTGCTAAAAGAGACTCTCTTAGTACCCGCAGGCGGAAAGAGTTAGATAACGGAGTTGTTTTTTTACTGATGAGTATACTAAAATGTCGCCTTAGTGTGTAGGACGACGGCCAAATGGCAGTCCACGCTCTGGGGAATACGGGATCGAATCCGAACGGGCAAAATTCCCCGGATTTTTCGGGTGGTGGCCCGTCTGGATATGTCGGGCTCCGAGCCTCACCACCTAGTCAAATCCATAATGGACTGGCTAAAAAGCCCTGTAGGGCGGAAAGCATTAAAAGATTTTTAATAAATATATTAACAACTTACCTTCCACATTGTAAAATTTATCATAAAGTTTAAATAAGTGAATTCTCTTTCTTCCGACGTAACGAATTTTTATAAAACTATAGCAGGAATGCATCATTGTTGGACAGCAAATACTATAATTTGTAATCGAGTAATAGCGTGTCGCTTCTTTTAACTTTTCCTTAATTCAATTTCGAAACGGTAAACAATTTCAAGTCCGAAACTCCCTTATTTCTTTTCTATTACGTTTGCATTGATGAATTTAATTATTTTTTAAAAAATATACATTTACCAAAAATTTAAGAGGGCGCTGTTATGAAAAATCCCTTCTTACATGTTGAAATTGCTCTGTAATTATTTTCGTTTTGTATTCGGAATGTGTCGGTTTACAGATAAGTTTTTGTTAAAGTAAGAATATTGATTACGTATAAAAATTGTAAATTATGTTTTTGTATTAACTGTGGGCCAGATGCTATCGCAATAGGGTTCGTTTACTATCTCTATCGTGATAACATGTGGCCAATGGGAAATACAAATGAAACAAATTTTTAAAATTAGTAAGTAATTCTCAAGTTTTTATACCTTTAAAATTCTAAATGAATTTCTTTGGACTTTTTTAAGTTATTTTCATTATATACAATACAATAGTAAAAATGATTAGTAGTAAATATGGATTCTCTGATGTTTTCTCAATAATTTTTGGCTCTGATTTTTGATTTGCAGCAGCGTTTTTCAAACTGGATTTTTAAAAATAAATGAACTTGTATCCATAACCTTAATTTGAAAAAAGTAAAAAGTAATTTTTTTAGTGGTATTGGGTATAACCGACAGAGAAATGTGGATGAAAAATTGTACAGATTTTATTTTATTTTAATTTTTTAGTTCTGTGGTCGCCAAGAGGATTTTTGCAACCTGTAGTGTGATGGCCAGATGTTAAGCGATAGAACGGAACTCGATATTTCTGAACCAAACTAGGCCCGCCATTGGCCACGTGGTTTCGTTCCCTGAACACTGGGAGTTTGATCATGGGTTTACGCCTGGCTGGGATGGGCTGGCCACACGAAGTTTTCTGGGTTTTCTTCGTGTCTGTAACGCCCGAATAGGGGCAAGTTACCCTTAAAAAGACCTCCTGGAAAGCATCCCCCCTTAGGCAGATTGCCCAAGGTTTGCATTGTCATAACTTAACAAAACAAACTGAACCAAACTATCCATGAAAAATCTCCTAGAATTCATCCTGAATTCAACATTTGTCTTTCAGAGTAGCAGATATACTATTTCTTTCAGATATATTCAAAGATATTCCAGAAACAACAATTCAACATTTTATTAATGTGTGATTTTATTTTATACCTAATTGAATTTTAAAGGCAAATAAATAATTTTTGATAGTTATATGTCTTTGTCCTTATATTTTTTATATATATATATTTTTTCTTTTATATCCTTGTTAAACAAAGTTATAATGGAAGCTGTTATACCTTCTTTTGTGGAATAAAAAACTAGATCTGATAAAAAAAATGTCATAGATATAAAAGATCTATATATATATATATATATTACATGATTATATGACATACATATAGTGAAACCACTCTTGATGAATATAATTGACAATTTTTATAATAGACAAATGGTATTTCAAAACCCACACCAAATTAGATATAATGCCGGATGTGTATACACTGTCAAATGGCTTTAAAATCTTTTTTATAATGTGAGAACTTTTAATCTTGTGAAATTTTGAGTGTGTTATAGGCCTACTTCACATAGTGACATTCTATTCTAGATTCATTAGCCTGATAATGGTTTTAATGTCATCTGACAGTGTATATAAATTATATCTAGTATTTTAATTTTTATACTACAAATATAAAAAGTATGTAACTTCATTACAGTTGATTCCTCTCAAGCAGACATACTTCATTATAGACACCGATATATTAAATGTACTATAGTTGATCTCTCACTCTCCTAATGTACAAGATAGAATCTCATCAAGATAACTTCATTGTTTGGAGTTTGTGGTTGCAGCCAAATTTGTTTGAAAATTCAATACTGTACTGCATTTCAGTTCTTAATAAAATTGTGCATATAAGTCAATGATATACTGTAGTAAAATTTCTATTTTGGATAATTTGCTGCTGTAAAAGTTTGCTTAGTAGCTCTGTTCACATCAGTCTGTAGAAAGCATGTGCATCTTAAGATGATAACTAGCAAAAATAATGTTTTTCAGTGAATTAATGTATGTCACATTGATGCAATTGGTCAAAAGATAATTCTGTGGATATTGATTCGTTCAGTCACACAATTATTATAAGTAAGTGTTGTCTTGTGCCCTTTTTACATTCTCGTATCACTTAAGACAAATTTTTCTAAATGGCCAATCACTGATAAAGACAGTTGCATTTATTAGTCAAATACTTCATGCAAGAAGACAGATCTCTGTGTAAACTATTGGCTTTACATTGGATTACAAATAACAATCAACCTAAGAAACCAGTGAAAAATAAAGATGTTTTATAATACTAATATTTTTCTTTCATCTACAATGAACATCATATACTAGTTTGAGTTGTGATTAATTTAATAATTTACACTGGATTAGTCAACCAATAGCCCATAACAAAAGAAGAGCTACTCGACAATTGACACTGTAATGAGAATGAGCAGCAAATCCAACAGTTGCAAAGTACATAACTGAATTTTTAATTAAAAAGATAATACTGACCCTCTTGATAAATCATCATTTACTATATCATCTCATATTATTTTGCATGTTAACTTATGTACAGTAAGTACATTATATATTCATAAATGAAATCAATACATTAAAGGTAATTTTTAAAACCTCTCTTGGACTATACCTGTCTATAACAGATTTTTTTCAATTCTGCAAGTGTCTGTTATGGAGATTTTCATTACACACATGCAACAAAAATATTTATTGATATGTAAATATGAATAATTAATGCAAATGATTAGAAAAATTGTAGTAGTAAAGTTAAATAGATGTAATAGTTGCAAATAGTAATAATGCAATACATGTGTCATTTAGCATGTTCTTTGACCTTACTTTAGTTCCTATTTTGTCTATTACAGGCAAATTGATCCACAGACCTAATTTATATGCTAATGTTTTGCATAACAAATTCTATATAACAGATATTCTCAAATATTTCAATAGGACGAGACTCAATTTGCAAAATTTTAAGTATTTCCAATAATATCAAAATATACTAATTTCTCAGTTTTTATTTTTATTTCAATCTACCTGAAACCTTTATAATCAATGAACTATTTCAATAAACATAATTTTTATAAGTATGTATATACTGTATTGTTGAAAATTTATCCAATGGTAAATATAGAAAAACTAAATATTCTTCAGAACTGCCCATGTACGGTAGTTTAAGAGTAAGGGTTGAGGCATTCTATACTTCAACACTTTGTGTATCAGTGACATGTGAATAAATTATCAGTTTAAAAAGCAAAATTTTGCAAATATTTTGTCATTTCTTCAATGTCAGGATCCATAAACTATTGTACACATAATTAATTAAAGGCTAGAATTGCCAAAAGTACAAATTGTACTGAGCACCAGCTGCATGTAGTTGATCATAAACTGGACTAGTAAATTGATGATTGTTTTCATATTTCAAAGTTTTCTGGAGTTGTCATACAACTCAGACACTACTAAGTCACTAAATACCCATCTCAATTTAAATTACTCTGGAATTGAATTATACATGTGACATGTCATAATTTATTTAATTTATACAGTTCAGCTGCTAAAATACACTAAAAACATTAGAAATAATACAAATTATATATACTTCATGTGATTATGGTAATTCTACAATTTCATGCATCATCTGATGCACATTACATTATGTATAAAATACAGTAAAACTTGTCAACTTGAAGTTTTTTCTTGCCCCATGGAGCTTTAAGTTAGAGAATAGAGTAAAAAATGCTGATTCTGAATAGACTTGTATTTTTACCTTTCTTGCATTATATAAAGAATCTTTGATAGTTTTTTTTTAAACAGCCCTTATAATGCCAACCAGCAAAATGTTCAATGTAACTAATGGAATTGAATGGTTCCAGGTACTGTACAGTACATCTTGTTGAGATAAAACGAGAGGACCTCTTGCTTTGGACTCAAACATTGTGTAAAAATTGGTGTTAGAGAGTAGATACAACTGTCTGAAAATTTCATGAAAATCTGATAATTAAGACCACTTTGGATAGAAAAAAAATATTAAAATTCAAGTCAGGAAGGTTGAAATTAACATAAATCTGTGTCAGGGAACCACGAAAAACTTCAACTTAAAGAAAATTTAAATTATAGACATTAAATCTCTGCTATTCCATTGAGACTTGCAAAGTGCTTTGTTTTCTTTGAGTTAAAGAAATATTTTAGTTACAGATGTTTGAGTTAGAGAAGTTTTACCTGTGTATGTGTTACATATAAGCCTTGTTAATTTCTTTTTATAAACATTGTCTGAATAAAACTAATAAAAATCCTTTTATAAGAAATTCTATTTAATCCATGTAATGCAAATTAAAATATAAAAGTCGTGTGTTTCCAAAATATACACTTTGGTATGTTATACTCCAATTGGCCAGTAGAATCAGTCACTTACTGGAATATCCTGGAACCACACAAAGGAAAATATTCATTTTAAAACATTCAAAGCAATCCTAAAGAAAATATAAGATTTGAATGCTTTATTTCCAAATAGCACATGGGATTCCATAATTATAATTTTTAGTCTTAATTGTTTTTATATCTGCATTATTAGGAAAGCAGTTTTCTTGTGTCTTCTCTTTGATTGTATGTTACTTCTGGGAGTTGTGAAAAGAGCAATCTCCCGTCAACTAATATGTCGATATAACCCACAATATGTTAAAATTAAATCCTACTTCATTCTTTACTGGAAAAAATATATATATTTAAGAATTAATTTTAAAATTTTTACCATCAATCATTTCACTTGTGTTTCATTACATTTTACAATTTGAAGAAGAAAAACGATACATTATTAATGACATGATTGATGAAAAAGTTTTAAAGACAACAAAAAATGTATTTATTTTATATCTACATATAAAACGTTTCAAATGTATTTACAATAATTTACATTAAGTTTGAAATGTTTGTTGTTCATTTGCTAATTGTGCTTGTGCTTGTAAATTAGCTTCTTCAATACGTTTATTGACAATTTCTGGTTGAACTTCCATATAAATAGACATCAGCTTGTGGTTTATATGAATTGATTTACTGGCACATTTATTAACACAATCAACCTAAATAAAAAATATATAAAATTATTATTTCTGCAAATAGGAAAAATTATTTGTGAGATATTTTAGAAACTTATGAATTACAAAAAGCTGTATATTTTTGTCATTGAAACAGCTATAAAACACTGAACTATTTTATTGTCATATTACATATTCCACTTTAGTTTTTAACAAGAATTTACAATTTAACTTTTTGAAATTAATAAAGTTTTAAACTCTGTCATGAAACCATCAAATCTTTGCAATTTAATTATATATCTACATGTTAAGAATGTCCATATTTGTATAATAAAAGATTATTTACTTTAGTATTATTAAATATAATTACAATACAATTGAAAATGTATAAAACAAAATAAATGAGATATTTTTGTCCTACAATAAATATTAATCTTGCAAATACTCAAATCATTTATTTTGAATAGCACATGGGATTCCATAATTATAATTTTTAGTCTTAATTGTTTTTATATCTGCATTATTAGGAAAGCAGTTTTCTTGTGTCTTCTCTTTGATTGTATGTTACTTCTGGGAGTTGTGAAAAGAGCGATCCCCCGTCAACTAATATGTCGATATAACCCACAATATGTTAAAATTAAATCCTACTTCATTCTTTACTGGAAAAAATATATATATTTAAGAATTAATTTTAAAATGTTTACCATCAATCATTTCACTTGTGTTTCATTACATTTTACAATTTGAAGAAGAAAAACGATACATTAATACAATAAACTAATTTCACCATCAAATATATATATATATATATATACACATAATTCCTTTTATTAATAATTTTAATCGACAATTTCACACAACTAAACACTAATTTAATTTAATAAACTATTCGTTTCAATAGGTATGTGATCAACTCAGACATCGGTACAAATTCAACAATTTTTGATGATTTAAAATATTTTAATAGTTTTGATCAAATGATAAAGCAAAGTGTATCTGATCTGCGCTAAAAAATTCATGCTGATCTGGTGACAAACTTGATAAGGTGATGTTCCTTGTTCGTTAGATTACAGATTCATTTTACTTAAAATTATCACTTTTCACTAGTGATTATCCAAACAAACTTATAGCCACAAATATGTGTGATATTATACTTTACTAATGCTATAGCTTTAAAATATATATTGAATGATTAGACAAACTAACATCTCTAATATGACCAGAAAATCTAAAATTCTGGAAAATTAGTTTAATGTATTAACACACAGAAAATTAATATCACATTTTGGATTTTATAATTAAATATTCTTACAACTGTATAAGATTGAGAGAAGACAATTACCTCTTCTGTTGTTAGATCTCTCTGATTCATATTATAAACACAATGATTAAAACATAACTCTGCCATTTTATTGTAGATAAGTAAAAAGTCTTTGAACTGGAAAAAATTTGCAAAAAAAACTATTATAATGTAAATTGTTATCTCTCTTAAAATATTTACCAAAGAGAAATTTAATTACATACTGGTGCTCAAAAGTTAAGTAACAAATATAAAAACACAAAAATTTCCTTTAATGGAATTTACAGATTAAGTGCATTATGATAAATTATAATTATATTATAATATAATTATTTATTATATTATAATAAATTATTTTTTTTGGACGTGGCTATTTATACATACAGTATGTATATGCAATAGGCTATTTATGCACATGATATGTATATGTAATTGGCTCTTTATACATACTGACTGTATGTTCCTATATTCCAGCCGGATACCGACTGTATGCACTATTATTACAATTAATATTTTGATAATAACTACACAATTATAAATAATTATAGTTTTATTTATTAAAGTTTAGTTACAATGTTGTTCAATAAAGTAATCAATAAACTATGAAGTATCATTAAATCAGTGAAATATAGGTAATGAAATTTAAAGTAGATTGGTAGATTACCAATAAAGTAAAATAAATATATTATTTTTTATTCTGTATTTTAATTTTTTTTCTTTTGCAAAAAGTGGTCTGTTTAGTCTTTCTCTTCAGATGTCCTTTGGATTTAATTTTAGTTTTGAATTTTAAGTTTTTATTTGATTGATTTTGACCAGGGCTCCTTATTAGACCAAATTTGTTCTTCGGGTTCAATTGTACTAAGCCCACTATTCTCATATTCATAAAGAGAAATTCCATTTCTTGCATTGCTTTCTATTACTTTTAATTCCTCTACATATTTATTGAAGGTTTGCGTTCCATAATTAAACTAAAAATATTGCAGATATTTTGTCATCGCCAGTACTGTATTAAATTTTTCCCTATCCGATTAATATTTTGTTGGGACAATCAAAATCATCAGTAAAAGTTTCATCTTCAATATGATCCTCGATGTCTACATTTACATCATCTATATCCATACTTAGTGCATTTTAAATTGAAATAATATATCTTGCATGAAAGCAATTTTCGAAAATTGTCCAAATTATTATATTTTCTTATCATAAGAATATGACAACATGGTGCACTAAAATAATTCCAAAATGAACAAGAACATGTTTCCACTGATGTATTATAAAATTTTGATATTTTGCTATCAAGATTTTCCTCAATGCTATTATTTTTAATTCTCATTTCCGATAATTGATATCATAATCAGGATATCGATACTCGAAATTTAGGATATCCTAAATTATAAATAACATTAAAACTCATCTTTACGTCATGGCTTTAAAAGGGTTAAATAGCCAATTGAGTATACATATGTATAATCACTATGATTTTTTGATTTTTTTTTTCTTTTGCTCTTACTGTCCTGTAGGCATTAAGTTTTTCCATGATCACTGGATCCTTTTGCTATTCTTGGATTTTACACAAAACAGATATATTCATGCTGAAGTAATTTGCAAGCAGAATTGTTTTATGCAGATTCTGTTTGTAGATTTGAATTCAGCATGGGTTTATTATATTATTTTAGATAAGTGAAATTAGGTATAAAACTAAGTTGAAAATGCAAAAATTGGCATATCTATTTAACTTTTGAACACGCACAATATTTTACATGCTACACATTCTAATGTAACATAGTATAAATGCATAAAACTGGTCTGAATTAAATTTAGGTTATTTGTATTTTTAAAGACATTTCATTTATTTAATTGCATTTAATATTTTACTCATGCCAAATTTCCAGAATTTTTATTACTACTTTATTGCTAAAAAAAACATTTTAAATTTTTAAAATGCCAACATTATAAGGAGATAAAATAATACAATAGATTTATTTTTTAAAACCTATTGTTTAAGTTAAATAATTTAAGATGCAATTACACTATTATTTAGAAAGCAATCGTTTTTATGTGCTACACTAAAGTTCAATACTAGAATATATCAAATAATTTTTCATTATTATAAATGGCATTATCATATAAAATTAATATAAATTTTTTTCAGTATGTTACATTATATAGATTATATTATAGATTACTACATATATGGAAATCCCAACACCAAGGAGGAGGAGTTACACTAGGTGAATGAAAATACACAAAATATTTATCTGTATAATTTATTGTAATATGCTTCTTGTCTAGCTTGGTATATACTTGTGAACACTATGTTAGCCCCTTTATTCCTAGACTTTAGACAGAAGATCAGTGTCCAAAATCTAGGAATAAAGGGGCTAACATAGTGCTCATGAGTATGTATAATTTATTACATTGATATGAGTTTTGAGAGTATAATTCACAAAATGTGTGTGCAGCACCATATGAAAGTTGAATGTTATCCATCTCAATACCCATTGTAGTCACTTTCATATTCCACATTCAATGCTGGTGTCCACTTGTGCATACATTTGATCAGAGAAGTGTTGGTTGTCATCCTATGGGATGGCAATCCACACCTGTAGGATGAAATCAGCAAGGGTTGTTGCTGTGGCAAATGAGCCTGGATCCATCAACTAATCATATTCCACACATACTCTATTGGTGATCTGGTGATTTTTGCCAGCCAGCATAACATACCAATGTCTCAAAGAGCATATTGGGTTGTAGCTGCAGTATGAAAATGAGCATTATCCTGCTGAAACAGATTCCCCTCAATACTGTTTATGGTGGCAGAACAATGGGTTCAATCTTTATTCTGAAGTAAACAATTGCATGTTCAGAACAACCACTAAGGGCCCTATCAGCATAAGAAATCCCTCCTCAGACCATAATGCCTAGGGTTGGACTAATATGCTGAAGATGGGATGCTGCTTACCAATAGATGTTCTCTAGGCTGCCTTCTTTTGCCATATTCTATCACTGGTACCGAGACAAAAATTTATCTGAATACACAAATATCACAGAATTCTATTCTGCCCTCCAATGGACTCTTGCTTGATACCACTGAAGATGCATCTGATGGTGGATAGGAGTGAGTGGCAATGTGCCACAGGATGCCTGGAGCAGAGGCTATTCTCCAGTAGATGGTTCTGAACAGTTTTTGAGGTTAAACCAGATGCTACTGCTGCTTGAATCTGTCGGGGATTTCCTTCATAATGTGCCAATCTTCTTCCTCTCCAATGACCCAGGAATGTCCAGAACTCGGTCTTCTAGAATTACTGCCTTCCCCAGATGATTGTTGCCAACAGTTGTACATGATGGACATGTCTTGACCCATTCTTTCTGCAATCTGACAAAATGAAAATCTGTCTTCTTGTAGTCTATCATACAGCATTGTTCAAACTGGTTAAATTTGATATGCAGTTCATTGTCACCTTTTTGAGGCATTCTTTACATTGTACCTAATGTCATCAGTTTTTCATAATGGCACTAATACTTATAAACAGCTCCACATGTCCATTGGAGACTTCTAATTTGCATTTCTTATGGCACTATAAGCACATCCTGTGCACATCCACCACACTTAAAACTAGTATCAAGATAAATCATATAAATATTCTGTATAATTTTTGTTCAACTAATACAGCTCTTTCTTGGTGTTGTAATTTCCATTTCTGGAATATACAAGGTGTAACAGGAAAGATGGTCACAACTTTTAGGGGTGATAGAACATAGCAAAAGTAACAATTGTTGTAATACAGTGTATTGTCAAAAACCAAACGGTTTGACACAAGAGGGTGCTTGCTGGTGAGAAGAACCCTATTTTGTATCATCATTTGGAAGTTGTATGGCTGCAGAGATGCAACAGTACTTGAATGCTGAGAAGGTGGATGTGCATTTCAAAATGTCCATTGACTCTCCTAAAGACCTTGTTGCCAGAATTATCATTGCTACTACAGAAGTACTGTACATGACATGCCAGGTATCTTCCAAAGTGTATGCCAATATATACATCACTGTAGCAGTTGTGATGTGTATATTGCAGTTGGCAGTCATTCATTTGAACAATTCTTGTAAATATCCAAGGTTAAAACAACTTTTCATTTTCCGTGTTCTTCATACTGTGTTTCTGCATTCACATTCCACTAAGCATTGTATTATGACAATTGTTACTTTTGCCGTATTCTATCACTCGTTAAAGTTGTGACATCTTTCCTGTTACACCCTGTATATATATATATATATATATTAATCTTATCAAAAAACAGAGAATAAATTATAAAAGTTCAAAAATGACTATACACTTAATTTAAAAGATACAAATTTATTTATGATTCTTAAATCTTTTAGAATCTGAACTCTGAAAAACTTTTTTGTGTTCTGAAAATGTTAATACTACACATTTGTTTTATTGTTTGGAATTATGAGGCATTAAAATTACTTAAGCTTAACACACCAACCACTGCCATAAATCATCGGGCTATAATTTGGAATAAATAATTACAAATTATAAATGAATTTGGCACTAGAGGTGTTTGTTAGGTGCCATCTTGTATTAAAATCAATAATTATAATATTCAATAGCCTTATGATTTATGGCAGTGTTGGTGTGTTATTGCATTGCATTGCATTGGGTTAATAGGGTTGTTTATTTTTACTTGAGCTTTAATATTAAATTCAAACTTTAAATTTAATAATAAGCTTTAATTAATTTTAATCTTTAATAAAAAAAATAATTTTGAAAGCTTTGTTTCTAAATTGAGTTAAAAGAAATTTTTTCAAAAGGAATTGACCTGTTTATCGAATACAAAAATCATAGAATTTTTATTGCAGAGTTGATAAACATATTTAAATATAAACTCACATTTCTCACAGATGCATCTTCTGGATCCATTTCTTCAATTTATTTATTTTCTTAAAAAATGAGAACACAAATATTTTATGAATATGTAACAATTTAATTAAAAATTATTATTTTTTAATCTATAAATATGAAAATAATTCAAATGCCAATATATTTGTATACAATATTTTTAGCAGTTATAATTTCAATAATTCAAAATAACTTAATTTTACGGAGTCCAACTTATTTAACAAAAACTTTTTCAAAACTTATAATGCCATAAAGAATTCAATTTATACTTTCAACTCTACTTTTAACATAATACTTGCTAAATAACTTGTAATTTTTTTATTGGTGTTTTTTGCATCTTAATTTAATATATGTAGAACCGAACATTGAATTACAATTGGGTTTGCTGTAAGTTTGTCAAAAATGTTTAAGATGTACAAAAACATTTGAATTTTATAGAATTGAATTAATATAAAATCTGTCAATAATACTGTAACATAAATTATTCATTATATAAAAGGGCCCTATCAGCATAAGAAATCCCTCCTCAGACCATAATGCCTAGGGTTGGACTAATATGCTGAAGATGGATGCTGCTTACCAATAGATGTTCTCTAGGCTGCCTTCTTTTGCCATATTCTATCACTGGTACCGAGACAAAAATTTATCTGAATACACAAATATCACAGAATTCTNTATAATGGAAGCTGTTATACCTTCTTTTGTGGAATAAAAAACTAGATCTGATAAAAAAAATGTCATAGATATAAAAGATCTATATATATATATATATATTACATGATTATATGACATACATATAGTGAAACCACTCTTGATGAATATAATTGACAATTTTTATAATAGACAAATGGTATTTCAAAACCCACACCAAATTAGATATAATGCCGGATGTGTATACACTGTCAAATGGCTTTAAAATCTTTTTTATAATGTGAGAACTTTTAATCTTGTGAAATTTTGAGTGTGTTATAGGCCTACTTCACATAGTGACATTCTATTCTAGATTCATTAGCCTGATAATGGTTTTAATGTCATCTGACAGTGTATATAAATTATATCTAGTATTTTAATTTTTATACTACAAATATAAAAAGTATGTAACTTCATTACAGTTGATTCCTCTCAAGCAGACATACTTCATTATAGACACCGATATATTAAATGTACTATAGTTGATCTCTCACTCTCCTAATGTACAAGATAGAATCTCATCAAGATAACTTCATTGTTTGGAGTTTGTGGTTGCAGCCAAATTTGTTTGAAAATTCAATACTGTACTGCATTTCAGTTCTTAATAAAATTGTGCATATAAGTCAATGATATACTGTAGTAAAATTTCTATTTTGGATAATTTGCTGCTGTAAAAGTTTGCTTAGTAGCTCTGTTCACATCAGTCTGTAGAAAGCATGTGCATCTTAAGATGATAACTAGCAAAAATAATGTTTTTCAGTGAATTAATGTATGTCACATTGATGCAATTGGTCAAAAGATAATTCTGTGGATATTGATTCGTTCAGTCACACAATTATTATAAGTAAGTGTTGTCTTGTGCCCTTTTTACATTCTCGTATCACTTAAGACAAATTTTTCTAAATGGCCAATCACTGATAAAGACAGTTGCATTTATTAGTCAAATACTTCATGCAAGAAGACAGATCTCTGTGTAAACTATTGGCTTTACATTGGATTACAAATAACAATCAACCTAAGAAACCAGTGAAAAATAAAGATGTTTTATAATACTAATATTTTTCTTTCATCTACAATGAACATCATATACTAGTTTGAGTTGTGATTAATTTAATAATTTACACTGGATTAGTCAACCAATAGCCCATAACAAAAGAAGAGCTACTCGACAATTGACACTGTAATGAGAATGAGCAGCAAATCCAACAGTTGCAAAGTACATAACTGAATTTTTAATTAAAAAGATAATACTGACCCTCTTGATAAATCATCATTTACTATATCATCTCATATTATTTTGCATGTTAACTTATGTACAGTAAGTACATTATATATTCATAAATGAAATCAATACATTAAAGGTAATTTTTAAAACCTCTCTTGGACTATACCTGTCTATAACAGATTTTTTTCAATTCTGCAAGTGTCTGTTATGGAGATTTTCATTACACACATGCAACAAAAATATTTATTGATATGTAAATATGAATAATTAATGCAAATGATTAGAAAAATTGTAGTAGTAAAGTTAAATAGATGTAATAGTTGCAAATAGTAATAATGCAATACATGTGTCATTTAGCATGTTCTTTGACCTTACTTTAGTTCCTATTTTGTCTATTACAGGCAAATTGATCCACAGACCTAATTTATATGCTAATGTTTTGCATAACAAATTCTATATAACAGATATTCTCAAATATTTCAATAGGACGAGACTCAATTTGCAAAATTTTAAGTATTTCCAATAATATCAAAATATACTAATTTCTCAGTTTTTATTTTTATTTCAATCTACCTGAAACCTTTATAATCAATGAACTATTTCAATAAACATAATTTTTATAAGTATGTATATACTGTATTGTTGAAAATTTATCCAATGGTAAATATAGAAAAACTAAATATTCTTCAGAACTGCCCATGTACGGTAGTTTAAGAGTAAGGGTTGAGGCATTCTATACTTCAACACTTTGTGTATCAGTGACATGTGAATAAATTATCAGTTTAAAAAGCAAAATTTTGCAAATATTTTGTCATTTCTTCAATGTCAGGATCCATAAACTATTGTACACATAATTAATTAAAGGCTAGAATTGCCAAAAGTACAAATTGTACTGAGCACCAGCTGCATGTAGTTGATCATAAACTGGACTAGTAAATTGATGATTGTTTTCATATTTCAAAGTTTTCTGGAGTTGTCATACAACTCAGACACTACTAAGTCACTAAATACCCATCTCAATTTAAATTACTCTGGAATTGAATTATACATGTGACATGTCATAATTTATTTAATTTATACAGTTCAGCTGCTAAAATACACTAAAAACATTAGAAATAATACAAATTATATATACTTCATGTGATTATGGTAATTCTACAATTTCATGCATCATCTGATGCACATTACATTATGTATAAAATACAGTAAAACTTGTCAACTTGAAGTTTTTTCTTGCCCCATGGAGCTTTAAGTTAGAGAATAGAGTAAAAAATGCTGATTCTGAATAGACTTGTATTTTTACCTTTCTTGCATTATATAAAGAATCTTTGATAGTTTTTTTTTAAACAGCCCTTATAATGCCAACCAGCAAAATGTTCAATGTAACTAATGGAATTGAATGGTTCCAGGTACTGTACAGTACATCTTGTTGAGATAAAACGAGAGGACCTCTTGCTTTGGACTCAAACATTGTGTAAAAATTGGTGTTAGAGAGTAGATACAACTGTCTGAAAATTTCATGAAAATCTGATAATTAAGACCACTTTGGATAGAAAAAAAATATTAAAATTCAAGTCAGGAAGGTTGAAATTAACATAAATCTGTGTCAGGGAACCACGAAAAACTTCAACTTAAAGAAAATTTAAATTATAGACATTAAATCTCTGCTATTCCATTGAGACTTGCAAAGTGCTTTGTTTTCTTTGAGTTAAAGAAATATTTTAGTTACAGATGTTTGAGTTAGAGAAGTTTTACCTGTGTATGTGTTACATATAAGCCTTGTTAATTTCTTTTTATAAACATTGTCTGAATAAAACTAATAAAAATCCTTTTATAAGAAATTCTATTTAATCCATGTAATGCAAATTAAAATATAAAAGTCGTGTGTTTCCAAAATATACACTTTGGTATGTTATACTCCAATTGGCCAGTAGAATCAGTCACTTACTGGAATATCCTGGAACCACACAAAGGAAAATATTCATTTTAAAACATTCAAAGCAATCCTAAAGAAAATATAAGATTTGAATGCTTTATTTCCAAATAGCACATGGGATTCCATAATTATAATTTTTAGTCTTAATTGTTTTTATATCTGCATTATTAGGAAAGCAGTTTTCTTGTGTCTTCTCTTTGATTGTATGTTACTTCTGGGAGTTGTGAAAAGAGCNTTAACATAAATCTGTGTCAGGGAACCACGAAAAACTTCAACTTAAAGAAAATTTAAATTATAGACATTAAATCTCTGCTATTCCATTGAGACTTGCAAAGTGCTTTGTTTTCTTTGAGTTAAAGAAATATTTTAGTTACAGATGTTTGAGTTAGAGAAGTTTTACCTGTGTATGTGTTACATATAAGCCTTGTTAATTTCTTTTTATAAACATTGTCTGAATAAAACTAATAAAAATCCTTTTATAAGAAATTCTATTTAATCCATGTAATGCAAATTAAAATATAAAAGTCGTGTGTTTCCAAAATATACACTTTGGTATGTTATACTCCAATTGGCCAGTAGAATCAGTCACTTACTGGAATATCCTGGAACCACACAAAGGAAAATATTCATTTTAAAACATTAAAAGCAATCCTAAAGAAAATATAAGATTTGAATGCTTTATTTCCAAATAGCACATGGGATTCCATAATTATAATTTTTAGTCTTAATTGTTTTTATATCTGCATTATTAGGAAAGCAGTTTTCTTGTGTCTTCTCTTTGATTGTATGTTACTTCTGGGAGTTGTGAAAAGAGCGATCTCCCGTCAACTAATATGTCGATATAACCCACAATATGTTAAAATTAAATCCTACTTCATTCTTTACTGGAAAAAATATATATATTTAAGAATTAATTTTAAAATTTTTACCATCAATCATTTCACTTGTGTTTCATTACATTTTACAATTTGAAGAAGAAAAACGATACATTAATACAATAAACTAATTTCACCATCAAATATATATATATATATATATATATACACATAATTCCTTTTATTAATAATTTTAATCGACAATTTCACACAACTAAACACTAATTTAATTTAATAAACTATTCGTTTCAATAGGTATGTGATCAACTCAGACATCGGTACAAATTCAACAATTTTTGATGATTTAAAATATTTTAATAGTTTTGATCAAATGATAAAGCAAAGTGTATCTGATCTGCGCTAAAAAATTCATGCTGATCTGGTGACAAACTTGATAAGGTGATGTTCCTTGTTCGTTAGATTACAGATTCATTTTACTTAAAATTATCACTTTTCACTAGTGATTATCCAAACAAACTTATAGCCACAAATATGTGTGATATTATACTTTACTAATGCTATAGCTTTAAAATATATATTGAATGATTAGACAAACTAACATCTCTAATATGACCAGAAAATCTAAAATTCTGGAAAATTAGTTTAATGTATTAACACACAGAAAATTAATATCACATTTTGGATTTTATAATTAAATATTCTTACAACTGTATAAGATTGAGAGAAGACAATTACCTCTTCTGTTGTTAGATCTCTCTGATTCATATTATAAACACAATGATTAAAACATAACTCTGCCATTTTATTGTANAATTTGAAAAATACAATTTAAAACTTAATTTAAAAACTTCTTCAAAAAGTAAATGACAATTATACAGAGCTGGGTTTAGACTTACAGCTCTAATCTATAACACATAACTGGGCTTTTCCCACCAAATAATGATACATGTAAAAATGTGCAGAACATATATATATTGTATTGTATATTGTATAGGGTTCTGAAACTTGCTGTTTTTTTCATATTGCAGGACATTTGATGACTTTAATAACTGCTGTATGCAGACTTTTTGAGTCACTGTATATGATTTATGTCATCGTGTATATTGTATACTAAGGCACAATTCTAGGACAAATGTAGCAAATTGGGACTTTGACAGAGCAGTAGAGCATATCGATAGGAACAAAAAAGTCNGAAAACCGAAAAAAAAAATTTCGGCCACGTGACGCCGTCCCTTTTGGGCTCGGAGTCACGTGACCGGATGTGACGTAGGCGCATCTTTGGAGGGCTATATCTCGCTTAGGGTCGCCCGTACGGGCATGGTCCTTTTGACTTTCCTGCTCGCACAGGGGGGCTCTACAATTTGGGGGGGGACGAAATTTTGCTACATTTGTCCTAGAATCTTGCCGTATACTAATACATTCATGGTCTCAGAACATTGATCATCATATGCAAAGATAAATTGAATACCTTTTACAGCTTGTTGCATAACCTTATACTATCCACAATAGAAAAACGTGCACAGTATAATGCTAATATTAAGTCATTAATAACATAAAATAATTATTAGTCGCTAATTGTATTCATTACAATATAAATAAATTATAGTTTAATTTTTAAAAAATCAGAATAATCCGAAAAAACACCTTTACCGATATATTTTTCTCATACGGAAATCATAGCAATCCACAACGACTACCCGTCACCCTCTAGTGGACAACTGACTGAATTAATCTTAGCCTATTTGCACCTAATTCAGACTTTCCAAACTTGACTTATGCCTATTGGTTCCTGCCTATAACTGTTAAAAACTTTTTGGAATTTTATATGCGCTACAGCATTATTGTGTTTTTTTTTTTTTTTATCAAACTTTACTGAGAGTATGGCATATATCATTTTTCATTTCGTTTTTACTTTAACGTCTCTGTTATGTATAACCGAGGAAAAGTATTTTGGACTCGGGGAATCTTAAAACGTCGAGAAATGCAAAAAAAATGGGAGGTGGTTTTAGTGTGTGGGAGAACGATTTTGTTCACCCTCTTTGAAGCTTATTAACTCATATGCTTTTTGTCAAAAATTTCTGAAATTTTGCAGGTGTATTACGGGAATCGATGCTATTAAATCTTGGTGGTTAAAGGTCGACGGGGTGAGGAGATAAAGATGTTTGTGTATAATAACTCCAGTAGGGTCGGACTTAATGACGATTTTACTCTTTATTAGCATTTACAACTTTTTATAGAATTCATCCCTACCCTCAAAATTAAGCGATTCGTTGCTGGATTTTTTAAATTTATTTTTATGGCATTAATGTTGATGAATAATCATTGGTGAGATAATATTAATCATGAATTAGAAACGTTTGTCCTGGAAACTAATAGGAAACAATCGGAAAACACAGAAAAGACAATGAAATAGACAAAAAAAAAAATTGTTGCGCAAACTTTTGTCACTAGAGGGCGAACGATACAATAATAAGCGGTTTAACGAAGATGTGATCTTTGTGGTCATTTAGATGCTTCGTTAGTTTTCGGATTGTATTGAAATTATCCAAAAAATTAATTTTTGAAGACGAGATCAACATCAAAGTAAGTCTTTAAAACTGTTGTCTTTCGTTATATGGTTTTATCTATTTGTTATCAAATTTGAATGGTGGAGTCAACGTAAACATTGGGTTTTAGAGCAAAAAATTCTCTAAAGATGGAACTTTAGGTTAGACTGAAGCTAAAGGTCATATTCGCTACAAATTGCTGTGTGTTTTGAATCAGATCTTACTGAGAGTATGGCATGCTCCAACACTATTTTTAGCATTCTTAAATGCCCTCATTAAGAATGATACAAATGGTGTTGGTGTGAATTTGGGCAGGAGATTGGGCTCAATTCAAGCGTTGAAGGAGGAAAGTTGTCTTGGGACCCAGCATGCCTTCCAGAATGATTGTGTACAGTACCCGAATAAGGATTTGTCTGCGCTACAACTTTGTGGATTGCTATCCATCAGTCATCAAGAATCGGATGCTCTATACATTGAATGCTCAAAGGGACAACTGATATTCTCATAAAACCATCTTAACCGGAAGGATCATCACATATGGAGTTACGGCCATCTCTAGATTGTTTGGACCATTCAAATATTTTACTGTGGCTGAGTGTCTCATCACTGTACTGTGCTTGAAGTTGTCTATAGATCTCTGCTGATTTAATTCCTTCTTTAACAAGAAACTTCATTACAAAGCATTCCATTCGTGTATTGGTTACAATGGTTGCAATTTTGAATATCTTACACCAGAGGCTAACAAGATATATACATCATCTACTACTTTTTGCCTTCAGTGAATTTGACACACTTGTATTATTTATTTTGCATGTAAAAGCAAAAGTCCCTGTTTGACTTGAATGTCTCTTGCAGCATTGATTTCACAAGGAAAGGTTGGAAATGCCATTTATAGAGATGACATCCCCAATAAACATACTGAAAGTCTTATTTTTGTGAAAAATTCTTTGCAATTAATAAAAAAAAAAACCAAAAAACATTTTACTTTATTTAAATGAGCAGCAGTTGTCTATTTCATTGAGTTTGTTTTATGTATGGAAGGTTGTGGTTCCAAGACATTAAGAATTTTTTTCATGGAGGATAAAAAAGAAAAAATTCTCAATGAATTTTGAAACTGCAACCTTCCACATGCAAAAAGCAGGATCAATGAACTAGACAACTCGGCCACTGAAGCTTCTTATTAGTATTTACATTGATTTTGACATTTAAATAAGATAAAAAAAAAAAGAATTTTGCAGGAAAAACTTTCAGTACTTTTATTAAGGAAATTATCTCAATACAACATATATTCCATTAAAAAATGGCATTGGTAGTTCCCATATTCCCTGTCAGTAACATATTCAAACAGTTTATTGGTCAATCTGATACTTAATTATGTTCTTAACACTCAATTATATATTTAACTGAGATAAGAATAGTAATAAATTCTGTATAAATAGTATTTTAGATACATTGTGAATTAAGTTTACAACTCTTATTCTAATAGAGAGAAAAATGAATGATAAGAGAGAGAGTGGGCGTCTCAAAGAACAGCGAAGAGTTCTGGATGAAGCAGCTCGTCGAAGGAGACACCAGAAGGCCCTAGATGCATTGGAACAGGATAATTATCATGATGATCCACATGCAAATCTGGTCATGCACAAGAAGGCACCAAAGTTTGAAGAGACTTTAGAATCCAAACGGAGGAAGAAACTAAAAGGAGAACCATTCAAACAACGATTCAGAAAAAACTTTAATGCCTTATTGGAAGAAGAACAGTTTAACTCTAATGAAACTCCAAATTATCTCAGTGCTTGTGTTCCGCCTTCAAAATTTCCAAATAGGCATTTTTGTTCTGTCTGTGGCTTTCCTTCCAACTATAAGTGTGTTTCTTGTGGTGCAAGATACTGTAGTGTAAAATGTTTGGGAACCCATCAAGATACTCGATGCTTAAAGTGGACTGCTTAAAAATGTAGAAAGAGATTTTTTTATAAATAATGTTATTTTCAATTAAATTTTTCCAAAAACCAAATATGCTAATTTTTTCTTTATACATAATTATTTAATCTCAAAAGATTTTCCTTGACAAAGCATACCACTATACAATGTCTAGTGCAATCTGTTCTGTAATTTGACAGATATAAAGATCAAAAACACAAAAAACAGTTCAAGGTTAAGTTTTAATTTTGTATGGCTGTATCTTAGAATCAATATTATTTTTCCAACAATTTGAATAAATAAATGGGTTTTTTAATTTTTAAATTGTAATATTCCTTGTTTTCATTCCTCATTCATCAAAATTATTGTTAGTATTTATTAAATATATGAAAATATAACTAAAATAGAATTTTGTTAATCTGATACCCAATAATGTAGAATTTCTGGTATTTCAGCCCCTCTGAAAAGTTGCTGATGATAATTTTATATACTTAATATTCTACAGCTTGGAATTTGAGCTTGTGTGCTAAAGATCTCAAGAAAAATTGAGGCAAACATGGATATAACCATAGGCTGCACATTGCTGCATATCAGGAGATTACCGTAGGATTAAAAATAATGTGATCTAGAAAAATGACTCATTTTGTTAGTCTTGTTTGTTTCTCTGTGACCCAATGCTGAGAAGACAAACAAGACTAACAAAATGGTTGGTGGCTTTCAGCAGTACTTTCCTGAATCTAATGTGTGTTTACACTACAGTTGCCAAGAAGTTGATGCAAATATCTTTCAGTATTGTACTTAAAAGCATCACCTTGCAGGTTTTGACAAGAAGTTGGGTCTTTTTAACTCTCTCTGTCCTGTTAGAACTCAGGCCTTTTTTCCATACCTATTAGCCAGGCCCACAGTGGGAACAGCTGGGTTGATTGATTAATTAGTGGAATTCAGTGTAATTACACTGAATAAAAAAAATCAAAAGGATTAATTATTTACATGTAGATAATATAGGAATTAAATTATAGCATTTAAAATAAATTCAATAATTCAACACAAGTTTATTTAAAATTAAAAATACAAAACTTTATTGCCAAGAAAAATATAAAATTTTGTACATGATTTTTTTTCTTTTTTGACTGGTGAATGTGGAGAAAAATCAATTACTACTCATAAAAAAATGGTTTTTGGTCTTTTACATGAAATACTGTATAAAACATGATTGTCTTGCATTTTAATAAAAAAATGCATTAAGTTTATCTCTCACTAATGACTAACTAATGATATAAAATGTATAAAAGTACTAACAGTAAAAATTTTATTTGAATAATACAATTGATAATAAATATAAACAACAAATTATAACATTTCAACTTCAAAAAATAGCTGCATAATTTTAAAAATGTGCATTAAGTACAATTTGTATGTAAAATTGTAAAAGTGACAATGGGACGGTGATTAACAACAATTTTATCAGGCACAATTTAAAAACAGATCAAAAAGTACCCATTTTAAAATATGTAATGGCACTTCTATTTTGATTAAAATATGGCAGAATAGTTTCAATGCTGTCTCCATTTGTACAAAATTCATAAATAATAAAAGTCATTTAAAGGACAATAAATAATGTTAGAATATTCTACATTTTAAACAGTAGATCAATATCATATATTTCATACAAAAATGCAGTCTGTGGAAGACAAGCCCTGTGACATGGTTTTATGTATAAATAGCGATATAACAAATCAACTAATTAATTACTAGAAACTTAATAATATAACGATAGTATAACAAGATTAAAAACAAAAATTATTGGATTTCTTCTATACTAAGATCGTCTTCACTGTCCCAAGATGATGTTCCTTTTTTTGTCGATGTCGATCCTTGAATCTCAGATTCATCTATATGAAAAGAGTATTTCTCAGAATAGAAATGGAAACATAATGAAACAACAAATTATAAATGTCATTTAATGAATAAATTGCTTACCTTTTTTTGAAGTACTCCATGCATTTGAATTCAATACTTTTGATGTAATATCAGTTTTGTAAGTTTGTCTAATTAAATTATATATTTAAGTTATATTCATATATAACAATGATTTAGGTGAGTGACACAATTAAAATGAATTAACCAGCTTACTTTTTATGTTTTATGCAAACTGATATTGAAGAATGAGATTAACATCAAATTTATCTTAAATTTTTCATAAATTATATAGTATACTCCAGTGTTTTGTGACACTCATCACATATTTTTGTAATTTATAACATAAAAAGCTACTATTGGCAGTCTAAAACAGTGTTTCTAAGGGACCACAGAACATTTCAAGGGAACCACAAGCCAAAATTCAATTTTTGGGAAGCCAGAGAAAACTCTACGGGAAAACAGTCAGAATAAAATATTAAAATTATATGAAAACAATACGAAACTTCAATAAGTAAATTATTAAAATATCAAATTTACTTTTGTATTTTATTTAGAGATAAATAAAAACATTTTAGATTCAAAATGTCCTTATTTATCAGACAATATACATACATTTGTTTCTTGCAAATGAAGGCACATACATTGAATCTTACATATACATGCAAAATATGTCATTTTCATTTTTTGGAATGATGTTTACTACTAAAATGTAGGCTTATTGCATATAGATGTATAGAGAGCCTATACAGTGAAACTTCAATTTAGTATGATGATTTGTTTTCCTGTGAAATTGGTTTAAAATTGAGTGTGGAGCTAAACTTAAATATATTTAAAAAATTGCAATTATATAAAGTAATACCTCAGGTTCACACATTTTGAATTTGAAGATTGAAAGTTATGTGATTTAATATTGACTGTGTTGCCTGAAATGCAAAATCTTTCAAAATGAACTATTATTATGGAGGGGCCACAGAAAAATATTAAGCTCAAAAGGGGAGATAGATCAAAAAAGGTTGAGAAACACTGGTCTAAAATAGTGTTTGCAGTTATTTGGTCTATATATAAAAAATATTTGATACATATTCTATCGGTGAGTGAAGCTAATCTACTTTATTATATTAGATATTCACTGGGATTGATACAAACACCTCAAATATATATTTTAATTGATTTGACTGTAAGCTATTGAATCATTTTAATTGTGTTACCTTAAGTTTTTCACAATTTTCACTTACATTTGTGTTTCAAAAGTTTTAAATTCTTTTTCTGGTGATGATAGAGAAATATCATCATCAAATTTTTCTTGCTGGAAAATGAAATTATCTGTTATAAGAGTATCAACACTTACATCTACATCAGTTATATAAGAATACATACATCAGAAGCTATCTGACTTGCAAAAATTCCTTTTGGTGTAACATCAATAGCACCAGGTGGAGGTTTGGAATTCCTTCCCATCAATTGATTTTCAATTGACTGTGTTAATTTTGTCACCCGTTCACCCGAAGGAGGTTTTACACGAATTGGCTGATATTGATTTATGCCCGTATCATCATCATCATCATCATCATCCTCTGCTTCGGAACTAGAAATTTTTGAATAAGTTATTTTTTTTATCTGTTGAAAATTATAATAATTTACTCTCTTATGAATTAATAGAAAAGAATGTACCTTTCTGAGCTTTCTACATATGAATCACTTAATTCTGAATCTTCACTGGATGTCTTTTCATCTTCGAAAGACACTCGTTTAGGTTCAGTTAACGATTTGCGTGGGGCAGGTTGCACTTCTTTTAGAGTTTTTAATATTGAAGAATATTCTTCCTCAATGCTTTCACTATTACTGCTGTCTTCTTTCTGCATTTGACTGAAAACAGAATATGAGATCAACTTATTTGTTTGTTTCAATTTTTCACAGTAAAAATAAATATTTCTTTTAAAACAAAATTAAAATCATTTTTTCATTACATAACTAATATACTTAAGCATCTTTAAACATTAAACTCATTTGTAAATAATTATTTGGTAAATGTATATTATATATTTAATTTTTTTTTTGTGTGTGTTTAGAAAACATATTTAATACCAAGTAAAAATATAATAGAAGTACATGGCCAGCATTATTTACATTTATGACAAAAGCAAGGTTTTACCCTTATAAAAGTCATATTTATATTTTTATGTACAGTAGACCCCTATAACGCGGGTTCATATAATGCGGATTCATATATTGCGGCAAAAAAATTGCGACCGTATTCGTATAAAGACGCTAAAAGAGACTTGTAAAATGCGGTAAAACGTCATCGCCAACTCATGTCGCGACAGGATTGGTCGAATCTGGAACAATAGTGAATGAGCAGCCGAACTACTTACACGCTATGCAGAGTTTAGGCGAGTAAGTTGAGTTTACTATCGTCTGTATAGTATGTAAATTAGGTACCGTAAGTCTAATACAGCACTAATTTTATACATTTCTTGTGAAAGAAACATTTCTTATTCAACGGCCATAAAAATTATTTATATTATTGATGTCTCCAAAGTTCAACAAATTTTTCGCAGAAAAATAACTTACCAGAAAACGTGGCCGCCATTTGGTGCGCTTCTCCGCGACGAAAACAAGCTTAAGCAACGGCATGGTCGAACGGTGCACACTCGGTAAGTAATACTACAATTTTTTGTTTATAGTATAGTTTATACAGATTATTCCCAAAAAATTATACGTGTTTTGGAAATGTTGATTGAAATTAGTCTAGAATCGATTAATTTTATGGAAGAAAACCTTTCAAACAGCCGTAGTCTGTAAACTGCACACGTGCTGGGCTGTGATTGGCTCATATATTTGAGGATTCCTACAACGCGAAATTTTTATAAAGTGGAACGTATCTATCACGTTATAGGGGGTCGACTGTATTTATTAAATATTTAATACTATTTTCTATATTTGTTTAAAAAAGTCTACATATTTACATCTTTTAATTTAAAAATATTTTAAATTTAATTAAGCTTAAAAAACTTGTAGGCAAATTTTATGTCAATGTATGTCTAAAGAATTAGAGAAAGCTAAGCCACTTGATTTTCTATCTCATAATATATTGCATTCTCACAAGAAAAGTAATACAATGGTCTTAAGTTTAAAAATTCTATATTATAAACTATTGTAAACTTTATAGTATAAAACTAAAAATTTAAATATGAAAAATTTATTTTTTTTATGATTCCTTTATATTAAAGATATATTTTCAGAAATATACTTTGTCATAATCCAGAATTTTTTCAATAACTCCCATATTCATTTTTCCTTCATTACAGAAAACTATCTTTTGAGTCAAAATGACAATAAAACCTCCAAAAATATTTAAAGAAAATAATTACGTTATATCCTTTCTTGTGAAGTATGCTATTTTAAGGGCAATCTATATATGGTTACTTTATTAAATTGACAAAAACTTACCCTTTAACAGGCATGTGTTGAACAAGAGGACTCTGAGATTTATTTGGATTTTCTATGTGAGATTTTTTTAATATGGAATGATCTAGTTTTGGAGAAGAATCATAAGCAGGTGCAAATGAATAAGATGTCTTTGGTGAGGATGTTTTTATATATGGATGAGTAAATTTTGGCGACGTATCAAAAGAATCTATTCTAGAATTGTGTGCTTTTGGGGATAACAAAGAAGAAACAAAATGTTGTGATTTTAATATTGGGCTTTGTTTCAATACCGCACTCTTCTCAGTATAGTTTTCTTTATCTAAAAAAATATTGATCTTGTAAATAAATAATTAAAATATATTTCAATTTTATATTCTTTATATAATTATTAAATTACAATCATTTATTTACTACATAAAGAACACTAGTTCAAATAAAAAATATAGACTTCTAGTACAAATTTATAATAGCTTATTATATTCTGTGCACTTACTCGTTTATAAACATTAGTTTTATCATATTTATGAATATTTAAAATGTTTTCATATGAAAGTATTGTTAAAATTTCTGTTTGTATCCTTGACTAATTTGGACTTTGTTTATTAATAGGACTTATTACACTGGTGTAGTTTCTGTTTAGCAAATAGAGATCTTAGTCAAAAAGTTTTTTGACTAAGATCTCTATTTGCTAAACAGAAACTACACCAGTGTAATAAGTCCTATTAATAAACAAAGTCCAAAGTAGTCAAGGATACAAACAGAAATTGATAGGAGTAAGGACATAGAGGCAAAAAGAGTTGTTGTTAAAATATTTAATACTAGATATAATGAGCTATTGCTTGCTTAACAGCATCATAGAAAATAGTCCTATTCATAAATAACTTATTTTAATGTATTGATGATTATGCTTGAATTGAATACATTTATTCATTTATTTATTTAATTGTATATAATTTTATCTTTTCAAAGTAGAGTTTAGCTTTCAGCAAATAACTTAATTAAATTTAAAACATAAAATCAACATTGTAAGATTATTCAATTTACAAAAATTTTGGCAGAGAACATACTTTTATATTCCTTAGTATGCTTAAATAGTCATCTATATAAACAAAGAGTGATAAAATAAGAGAAATGCATTATTTTAAATTTTAATTATGCTTTCCTTAATTTAACTTTCTTAACTCTTAATTTTCAACATATTTTATTATACTAGTTTTTAACAATAACACTAGTATATTATACTAGTGTTTTATTATTCAGAAAATTGTTGTTACTGAACTTTGTTATCTCTTATCTGTAGAATGGATGCCAAATACATTGTCTGGACAAATTTATTTTCAGTTATTTCTGCATCAACTTAGCATCAAAATAAATACATATCATTTTAGGTCATGCAATATAATAAGCAGATCCGTACATTTTGAAATTTAGGAAGCAAATAACATGCAGTTTATTTTTTTAATATAATTGTTTTCAAAATGTTTATTTTATTAGTTTAAATAATTTTTAAACTTTTTTCAAATATTTCTATTGTATTTGTAAGTTTTTTATACAAAGTATTTAGATAAAACTTTTTCTACATTTGTGTGTATTGATATAGCCTGTGTATGATGGTGCCTTTCAAAACTAAATTACATAACATTATACAGAACATTATTATATATAATAATGTATTAAAAAAAGAAACATGTGTAAATTTATTCAATGATAAAAATAACTGACACCTTCACCATGAAATACATCAGAAATCATAGTGCAACTTGTCAAAGGGTTAAGTGATATAGAAATATTAGTGACTGAAATATATAGATTTGTGATTTACAAATTATAATATTATATTAAAATATATATTATAATATAATTATAATTTGTAAATCACAAATCTATATATGTATATATATCATAAAAATGTAGATATCTACGTTTACAAAATAATTTGTGACTAGTTGCTTGGATGACAATGGTCACCCAGGAATATAAATTTCAATATTTCAAAAAAACCATAAAATGTTTACCTAAAAACAATGTGGCTACTTATTGTTAAAATAAAGACAGGAAGCTAAGCAAATCCAGGTAAACGGGTGACATATGTATGTCAACCATTGGTTTTATCATCCATTGTAACTTTTCAATTCAATAATTTTCAAATAGTTGATCAAAATATCAAAAGTGATTTCAAAATTCTTTTAACCATTAAAAATTAAAATGCAATAAAAAGAACAAATCAATATGTATTTGGCAATACATAATTTTTTCTAAATTGAAATTTTGTCTATTCAAGATCAGTTTTGCTTATAAGGAAGCTGTTCCTTATATATAATATAATATAAAAATCAACTCTTTTCTAATCTAAAGACAAAATAATTCAAGTATTTCTCAAAACATTACATAATAAACATTTAGTTTTAAGTTTACTTGAAATGTCATCATAATTATATGCAAAGATATTTATTTATTCTCAATTACAATAAAAGTCTTTCAACATTAGATTTCCTCCCCCTCAATAACAGTAAATCCCAATTAAAATACATAAAATACAACTAACTAAAAAGAAAAATAATTAACAATTGTATAATAATCATTTACAGACCTTTCTGAAATGGGAATAGTCAATGTGAAGTAAATATTTGGAATTAACAATATATTGTGAAATATGGTAAAAATTGATCTTTTTTTTAGATTATCTCTTTCTCAAAGATGTAAAAATGCTTGAAAAATTGTAATTATTGCATGAGGGAACTCTTCAGCTAAGCCAATTATATATCACATAACTGTTGTAATATCTATAGTATAATAATTGATCAAAATATTTTATATGATCATTAAATAAGGAAGTCCCAATCTGGACATAGCAACATTAGGGTGGCTGGTAAAAAATAATTTACAGAATTTATTTAAGGTGAGGTATATTTTTAAATGAAGAAACAGTTCTAATAATAGTTTAGTTTCTAGAATTGACAATTATAAGAATATTTTACAGAAAAAAATTTAGTAACATACAATTAAGTACTATTTAATTATGTTATAATTATATGAAGAAACTTTAAAAAGATAAATAAATATATCTACATAAATTAAATCATATCCAGAAAATTTTAGAATAGTAAAAAATGTAAAGATTAGAAATTAAAAAAGAAATACAGTGGAACCTCTATATTCGTCATTAATCTGTTCCCCAAGTACCTAACTAATATGGAATATGACGAATATAAAAACAATTTTTCTCATAACAAATAACTGATATTCAATTAATCCATTCCCATCCTGAAAAAAAGGTACAAGAATAAAAATTATGTTGTTTGTAAAACTTTACTGTTTTTATTTAATACAATAAAGATATAGTGGTAGAAGGGGAAGAACAGTACAGGTATACCTCGCCTTACGTCAGTAATTGGTTCCAGGAGAACGACGTAAGTCGAATTTGCTTGTCTCCGAATCTACTTATCACTAGGCTAAACTGTAAATTACCATTCCCGGTTCTGTATTTTATTTATTAATGCATTTTTAATAATATATGGTTAATAAAATTCTATTTTAAGCTTACAAACAAATACATTTTAGTTTTTAATATAGTACAGAAAAAAAGTAATCTAAATTTACGAATGCATGTACTGTAAAAACAGTACATACTTGTATATATTTTAATATGATTTTATGTGCTTTAAACGTTTTTCTAGTGATATTACGACTTCAATATTTGTAGCGGACAGACGTAAAGTCGAATAAAATGACTTAAACTTGATTTTTATTTTTCCATATACTTTATTGACAAACGACGTATAATCGGGAACGACGTAACTCGAAACGACATAAGTCGAGGTATGCCTGTATTATTGTTTAGAAGACATATCAATTAAAACATTAGGCAATTCCAATTATGATCGTGGGGTCTGTTTTGCTAATGATTTAGTAGCACTCAATTTAATAAAGAACTTGTCCAGTGTTGTGTTTTGTTTTTTGTCTGCTTTTTAAAACTTTTCTGAAGTAGGCAATTACATTATCATTGAATGTATTTGTATTTTGGTTGACTATAGCAACATTTAGGTGCCACTTTGGAGCAATTGGAACTTTGTTTCTTGCTTTGATTATTTTTCAATAACTCAACAACACACACCGACGACTGTACAGAGCAGACTGATTAACTACAGATAGCTAACACGGCTACATGATCGGCGTGGGCGTGCGACTGTAGTGCCACTTCTGGTGTTGGGGATGACAATGAATACAGAAAATACTGACGAATATGGAAAAATAAAAAAGTCATCAAAATGCGACAAATATTGAATATTACGAATATAGAGGTTTCACTGTATTCTTGTTACCATATTTTGATAAATACAGTAAAATTTAATATGTAAGAAGTGAAAATGTATATATATCATAAAAATGTAGATATCTACATTTACAAAATAATTTGTGACTAGTTGCTTGGATGACAATGGTCACCCAGGAATATAAATTTCAATATTTCAAAAAAACCATAAAATGTTTACCTAAAAACAATGTGGCTACTTATTGTTAAAATAAAGACAGGAAGCTAAGCAAATCCAGGTAAACGGGTGACATATGTATGTCAACCATTGGTTTTATCATCCATTGTAACTTTTCAATTCAATAATTTTCAAATAGTTGATCAAAATATCAAAAGTGATTTCAAAATTCTTTTAACCATTAAAAATTAAAATGCAATAAAAAGAACAAATCAATATGTATTTGGCAATACATAATTTTTTCTAAATTGAAATTTTGTCTATTCGAGATCAGTTTTGCTTATAAGGAAGCTGTTCTTTATATATAATATAATATAAAAATCAACTCTTTTCTAATCTAAAGACAAAATAATTCAAGTATTTCTCAAAACATTACATAATAAACATTTAGTTTTAAGTTTACTTGAAATGTCATCATAATTATATGCAAAGATATTTATTTATTCTCAATTACAATAAAAGTCTTTCAACATTAGATTTCCTCCCCCTCAATAACAGTAAATCCCAATTAAAATACATAAAATACAACTAACTAAAAAGAAAAATAATTAACAATTGTATAATAATCATTTACAGACCTTTCTGAAATGGGAATAGTCAATGTGAAGTAAATATTTGGAATTAACAATATATTGTGAAATATGGTAAAAATTGATCTTTTTTTTAGATTATCTCTTTCTCAAAGATGTAAAAATGCTTGAAAAATTGTAATTATTGCATGAGGGAACTCTTCAGCTAAGCCAATTATATATCACATAACTGTTGTAATATCTATAGTATAATAATTGATCAAAATATTTTATATGATCATTAAATAAGGAAGTCCCAATCTGGACATAGCAACATTAGGGTGGCTGGTAAAAAATAATTTACAGAATTTATTTAAGGTGAGGTATATTTTTAAATGAAGAAACAGTTCTAATAATAGTTTAGTTTCTAGAATTGACAATTATAAGAATATTTTACAGAAAAAAATTTAGTAACATACAATTAAGTACTATTTAATTATGTTATAATTATATGAAGAAACTTTAAAAAGATAAATAAATATATCTACATAAATTAAATCATATCCAGAAAATTTTAGAATAGTAAAAAATGTAAAGATTAGAAATTAAAAAAGAAATACAGTGGAACCTCTATATTCGTCATTAATCTGTTCCCCAAGTACCTAACTAATATGGAATATGACGAATATAAAAACAATTTTTCTCATAACAAATAACTGATATTCAATTAATCCATTCCCATCCTGAAAAAAAGGTACAAGAATAAAAATTATGTTGTTTGTAAAACTTTACTGTTTTTATTTAATACAATAAAGATATAGTGGTAGAAGGGGAAGAACAGTACAGGTATACCTCGCCTTACGTCAGTAATTGGTTCCAGGAGAACGACGTAAGTCGAATTTGCTTGTCNAGGACACAAGTTAGCCGATATGCATTTGGTGTATGGGCCTGCAGATTGTAGTGGGCCAGCCACACAGCACTTGTACGTGGAACGATATCCGATGAGGCCTATTCCCAGCCATAATTTCTTTGCAAGCCTGCACCAGAGGTTAGCTGTTTCTGTGCACATCACTGCTTCAGGAAAGCATTTCTGACCCTGCATTGCTATATGATTCCCGAGTCATCGGGATGCACCCTACCCCTCTTAGAAGTTTTGAAACGTTTAACTGAGACACCTTGTATATATATTTGTTACTTATACAAATGAAAAATTATTACCTGGGAAACATTTTACTTGCTGAGACTTTTCTTCTAAAGCCTTTAATGAATCATTTGCTAGGTGATTTATGACATTTTCATAACAATCTCGTATATTACTGAATTTTTCATATTTCTAAAATATAGTATGTACTATTTATTAATATTTACAAATGAAAACGAAATAAGTGAATTATTTCAACATCTTACTTCAATCAAAGCATCTCTCTCTGNTAATTTCAGTGAAATTTTTCAACACTACATAACCTTGGCACCACATTTTAATTCACATTTTCAAAATATCTTTCAAAGAATATATTGAAGATTAATGATATATCACATTATAATTACAGTGATATTCTATACATATACTATTCCTACATATAGATTATTCTATATGTTATTAATATGCAGTCTTTATAGAATAAATAGTAATACAGTAGAGCATCGATTATCCGACTCAATTGAGGACTCGGGTTGGTCGGATAACTGGAAAAATCGGATAACCAAAAATAATGAAAAAAATACATTATTAGTATAGTATATTAGTATATCGCTATTAATTAGTTAAATGTAATTAGTATATTAGTATATCGTTAACCTACTTCGATGTTAAGCCTAACAAAAATTTTTTTTAAATAATATTGTCGCTATTGTACCGTTAAAAATTATTTTAAAATTATTTTATTGCTCACAAAACAAACAACCACTAATAATTAGAAAATTAAATCTCATTTAAATACTGGCCTCCCTTTCATGGTCGAGCCAGCATTGCCAGCTAAATCACGCAAAAAGTTAACAAAAATTATATTAAAGTAGCCAAGACATAGCCAAATATTGTAGCGCCACATCACTAGCGGACATTTGAAATTTGCCGACTAGGACGATCGGTTAACCGATGTGACAGTTAATCGGGGGTCGGATAATCGATGATCTACTGTACCTTAATTAAAATCAAACACTAAATTATACTATGTAAGCAAAGAAAATTATAGAACTACATATAAAAATTATAGAACATATCAATAGTTTAAAAAATAATTGAAAGCTAATCTTAATTTAAAAAANTACAACAAAAAACAAATGCCTTTGAATCAAGTTGAAAATTTAAAGAAAAAAATTAACTTAGACAGTATTTTTGTTTTTTTAAATAAAACATATTATTAGGTCATCAAGGATGACATTTGTAGGTAATAATATTGCCAACCATTGAGTCTGACCCATCTCAGAGTGCCTATGAATTATCGTTGAAGTTTGATATTAGCAAACAAACAATATTAACTCATTTAGCTCAAATTGGTAAAGTGAAAAAATTGGATAAGTGGGTTTCACATGAACTGAATGAAAAACAGAAACAAAAACGTTTGGATCCATTTTTGAATTGAATTGTCACTTGTGATGAGAAATGGATCCAACATGACAATCACAAACATTCAACACAGTGATTGGACAAGGATGAATCACTAAAACACACTCCAAAGTGCAATATTCATCAAAAGAAGCTGATGGTGAGTGTTTGGTGGTCTAGCGCAGGTGTGATCCATTATGATTTCATGAAACCTGGCTCATTGATCACAGCAGAAATATACTGCAACTAACTGGACGAAATGATGCAAAAACTTAAACAAAAACAGCCTAGATTGGTCAACAGATCGACTTCTATCTTATTGCATGATAATGCTAGACCACACATAGCACAAATGACTGTGGCAAAACTACAGGAATTGGAGTTGGAACTTCTTCATCATCCTCCATACTCACCAGACTTTGCCTTTTTTTCCACAAATTTCATCCTTGATAACCCAATATAAAAATTTACAATAATATTTTGTATTAAGATTTTAAAAAGCAAAGACAGTCAATACTCCAATCACTCAATCTGGTTCTTACTTTAGTAATGAAAAGTCCTGCTACTGAATACCCTTTCTGATTCAATTTATGAGGATGGAATTGTCTTTAATGCATTTAAGAGAAGACAGATATGTGTTTTCTCACCTATAGCCTGGAAGATTTCTAGTTTGTTTTCGAAATGAGTTGCAGTACTTCTTTTGCTCTCTAGTATTCTTGATTTGTCTACCTCAGTTGCTTTAATAGCAGCATCAAGCTTATAGCCCAATAATTCAGCAGTTCATTTAGCTTTAATAATCAAGTTTATGGAGAAATACTTCATACTTTATACTCATTTGTATCCTTGCCCAACTTGCACAATTTGGCATAATGCACTTATTGAAGCTAACTGGGCATGGTTAAAACTTAAGACAGCATCAGTGCAATTATTCAAGATATTACAGGTTCTGACAAGTAAAGATTTTTCAGAGTCCTGCCACAAATAGGCCACATATTGATTATTGACAATCTGTGACATGCCATGACAAGCAAAAATTTAAAAAACTAATAAGCAGGCTTATTAGTTTTTTAAAATTTAATTTAATACCATATATTAACCAAAGTTTTTACTATAGCTTACAGTGACCATAAACAAAATGTTCAGTTCCCTTTTGCACATGCATGTGGACGAGCAGTAAATGGATTGAATGGAACATTTTAGCCGACCGAGTTTAGGCTTAAGGTATAAGCCTAATTTCCAATGTTTGAATTGAATGATTAGACGGAACATAATGCTTAAGTAATGAAAGTGAAATCATTGCACATGTGCATGGAAATCTCACACACAGACAAAAATCCTAAATTCTCCACTACCATGAAGAATGCTAAAAACATCCTTGAAAGTTACAAGGTGTCAATCTTGAATCATGCCCTCCAGACCAAGATCACAAAGACCATCAGGAACAAACATCTCATTTGAAATATATAAATCAGCATGACAAGGGCTTACCATTAAATATAAACACCACAAATCACTATCCACTGCTTGGTGGGTGGGTGACATTTAGATATTTTGTAACTTATTAGTTTTACTAAGTTATTTATGTTATTTTATTTTCTTGTATTCTTAACCATTAAAACTAGAATGTTTGATGGAATTTTTGTAAATCTGAAGATAGTCTTCTGATAAGACCAAAAATGTTAGTTATTAAATAGTTTTATGCTGCTTAAAAAGGTTGTGAGTGTCTTAGTTGCTTTCTATGTTTTTATTATATTAAGAAAAAAAAATATATATATATATATATGAGTTCAGGCTAGTTATATATATAAAACCAAGCCTGAACTCATATCAAATCACTAAATGCCAAATTAATTTTTGGCTACATTCTTCCAGAATATTCCAAATGATCAAATTTCATATAATAATTAGTACAAAAAGGCAGCCTAGCTATCTAACTTTAGAACAAACTGTTTTTGATTATAATACTAGCATACTAAGTTACAACCCAAAATTAATCCAGTATTTAGTGATAACATTAGAAAATTAAAGAATATTTGTTTTTATTGTATTAAACAAATTTAAATAATTTGAACTCTGTTTCCTCCTTTTTTCATAAATTTTTCTCTCAATTTTCTTATTTTTAATTATAAAAAAGTGCATGCTGTTCTCTCCAAATGGGATAAAAAAAATTTTATGTAAATAAACAATTTAATTGATACAACTGAAAAACTAACCTTTCTCTAGTATGGGATTGGGATTGAGAAGATTTATTTACTATATCTATTTAAAATAAAATAAAATTGAAATAAAATTAAATAATATTCCAAAGTTTCATGTAGAATTAAACATTTATAAACAAATAATTATAACTAATAATAAAATTATCATTTACTATTATTGTTGTTCTTATTATGATTAAAATTCACATAAAATTATTATTATACTCACATTATTTTATGATAGTTTAATATAAAAATAATTATTCTAAGTTATAACATTATATTTTATTTTAGAAGTAAAATATGCAATATTATGAAAAAATTTTCAAATTAAATAAATCATAAATTATTCTTTTTTGTCTATTTATAAATTCTATATTAGCCCATGTTTCTATTCAATAATAAGTAGAACATAAATGTAAATAACAGTCTGTGAGGACTTCATTTCTTATTAGTCAAATTACTTGCTTTAATCATATTGAGAATCAATATTAATGTTTTTTCAATTTTAGTAGTGATTCAAAAGATTATTACATACAGTAGACTCTCTGTTAACCAGAACTTAAGCAACCAGCTAAAATATCAAAGAAATAATTAAAACAAAATTAATTTCTAGTGGAAATAGAAATTAATTTTAGTAATAATTGTGTTGTATGTCTAGTTTAAACTTGGCATTATGCACTGTGAGCAAGCATATGATGAGCTTCATGCATCATATGTTTGTCTGCCATCCTGCCAATTCACCCTGTGTAAACATACTGCTCAGTTTGCTACAGTGTAAACATATTGCTACAATTTATTGTTATTGAAATTTTGTGTTTTCACCCAACTCCATATATGTTGAAACAATAAGCATTAGTAAAACAGCTCTGTGAATGTTTTTATAATAAAACTGTGTTACATTAAATTAAGGTTGTCTTTATTTGCTTTTAATTACTGTATTTCAATATTAATATCATGTCAATACAGAGTTTATGGTGTAGTATAGTATTGGTTAAACCTATTTTTATAGTAACTCTCAAGCAACCAAAAACTACATTTATCTGAAATCTATCAATCCCCATGGGTGCCAGTTAACTGAGATTCTGTAAATATTTAATAACTTCAGTTTCTGTGAATTACTAAATTTACTAAATGTAAGTTCTGCATTGTAAACAATATTATTAATAAATCACGTGATTTTCAAATTTCAAGCTCAAATTTGTATGTAGATCTCATTATTGCATATAATTCCTACTGTTTAAGACTTTAATTTAGTGCTAATTTCAAATAAAAACATATAATGGTGCTAAATCAAAATTTGACTATTATATATATATATATATACACACTAGCAGTTACCCATGATATAATACCTACCGCTGAGAATGATGAAAATTGCTGAGAATCAAACAAACTGTTTTCAATTTGATCAATTTTTTTGGAACATTTACAATCATTCTATAATTGAACCAATATGCAATAACAAAGTTGAATTTAAAATGGTTTAAACATTTGGTTAAAAAATCAAAATGTATAAAAATATTTATAACAGTGTCTGAAATGTTATCAATTCAATACACCTAAGTACTCAATGAAAACTAATCGTAGTTGAAAACAAACAATCACATCTAAAATAGTACAGTAGAAGCCATTATTCAGGATAAGCCTTTATCCTCTCCCTATCCCCCTGCCGGGGAATTTTGAAAAATCCCTTCTTAGTATGCATTTTCATGATGTACCCTAACTGTGTACCAAATTTCACCTCTTTAGGTTCAGCAGTTTGCTCTGGGAGATGATGAATCAATCACTGTCAGTCAGTCAGGACAAGTAATTTTATATATTTAGATAGATGTAGACATCTTATTTTGTAATCAAATTCATTTATAATATATATAAAGTTTTAGAAATTTTACTAATTATGATAAATTTGTGATAAAAATAATCTTTTTGTTTATGAATAAAATTTTTGAAGTGAAATATAATTTGTTGGTTTAGACATATTTTCTCATGTTTTAATTAATTTCATCCAAAACTAATAGAATAAGATATAACTATCTAAAAATAATTTAAAACTTTTGCTCTGAAGAAAATGCTTGTAAGCTTCAACTATAAAGTTTATTAACTAGAGATACATTAATTACTTGTACTTTTTAAAATACAAAATAAAATTGTAAAATCTTGATTAGCAATAGCTATAAAACAATGTATATAACAATAATTTTCTGTAAGAATTAATAATATACATGTTGAACTAATGTAAAAATTGGGGAGACTATCCACATTTTGGATAAGATAATTGAATCCTTTTTCTTTTATAGAATTATCGCAGAGAAATTTGCATGTATTGTCAGGATGATCAGCTATTGGATGCTTTTCACGTGATTGCTAAATGCTCTAAGTTAGAAAAAATTCGGGAAAGTGTGTTTGGAACTTCTATTATTCCGTTGGAGAATTTTTTGGAACTTATTACTAATATAATGATCCCTTGTACGGAGTGACGTACATCGTTGTTTATTTTGCATATTGGAGTATTCGTTTTTGCCGAAAGGTGGCATTTGTTTTTTCCTTAAAAGTGTGCTTGTGGCTAAGAAGTGTTGGGAGACTATCCACATTTTGGATAAGATAATTGAATCCTTTTTCTTTTATAGGTAAGTTTGCTTGTTTTATTATGTCTCAAGGCAGAAAGAGGAAGACTTATTCACCGACTATACCGGAGAGAACACCAAGTAGACCTAGAAGGAGTAGTTTAGGTCAGGAGGAGGAGGTTACAGAATTACTGCAAGATTCGAATTTTGACGTATCGGAAGGTGTTCGTTTATTATTACGTATGCATGCTGCTCTTAATGGCAAGGTGGAGGATTTTATAAAGCGACTTGACCATCTTACAGAATGGCTTAAGAATGTGGATGAGGCACTTGTTGATTTTAAGGTTAGATTAGTGGATATTGAGGCCAGGATTGGTTCGGGCGGATCGGAGTCGGTGAGTTCTTCTCTTATTGATAATATTAGTTTGAAAGTGTCGAAAATGGAACGAGAAATAGATTACATGGATAATCAGCGAAGAATTAATAATATAATAATACAGGGTTTGGAGGAAGGGGCTGGAGAATCGGCTAATGACACTTTAGAGGCAGTTAAATTCTTTGCTATGAATAAGTTGAATTTGCCTGTGTTGAGATATGTTGATGCTAAGCGAGTTGGAAAGAAATTTGGTGATAGGCCTAGAATAATAATTTGTCAGTTTGGGTCTCTTAATGATAAATTATCTTTTAAAAAAGCAGGTTTTGAGTCCCGTAATTTGAATGTATTTGTTAATGATGACTTTTCTCAACGAATGAGAGATATAAGGTATAAGTTAAGGATGTTTGGAAAACAGAAGAAATCTGAAGGTGCTCAGAAAATCCGTTTAACTTATGATAAAATATTTATTGATGGAGTGAAATACGGATATGATGAGAATTCGGGTAAAATTATTGTTGTTTCTTCATAGCAACCACAGTCCCAGTGTACCTCTATAGTGATATGGAATTGTGCTGATATTAAAAATAAACCGTATTCATTTTGGAAGTATACATCGCAATTTCATTTAGTTTTTTGTCTGAAACCTGGTATTCTTCTAAAAGTAATAAAAATAATCTGGAAGTTTTATTGGATTATAATTGTATTATTGGTAATGCTTTTAGAGACGGTTGTAGGGATAGATTTAAGGCTGGATGGTTGCTATTTATAAAAATTTACTTTTGTTATAAAGTACTTTATAAAGATGATTTTGTGGTTTTGATTAATATTATATTCCCTGTGGGAGAATTTTTGTTATGTTTTGTATATATGCAAGAGCATAGTTGGCAGGAAATATTTGAGACACTAAATAATTTTGATTTCAATGAAGATTTAAATTTAATTATTTTGGGTGATTTTAATGATCGGATGAGTGAGGGAAATGTTATTCCTGACTACATTGGTAATGTTTATGATATTGATTAGGTTAAAAGAAAAAGGAAATCTAAGGATGTGATTGTAAACAGCAGAGGGAGAAAGATGCTTCAATTTTGTGCAGATAAAAATTTATTAGTATTAAATGGTAGAACGTCTGGCGATGAAGCTGGGGAATATACATTTGTGTCCAGCTTGGGTTCTTCAGTTATCGATTTTGATTTAACAACTTTTTCTGTATGGGGTTGTGTTAAGTCGTTTTCTGTGGATGATAATTGTTGTTTTTCGGATCACTTTCCTATGGTATTATGTTTGAATAAACCTGGTCAATCTAAGGTGAATAATGATGGGAGTTGGCATGAAAGAATTTTTTGGAATGATGAGTCTATAATAGTTTTATGTTTGAGTTGGAGAGGTATCTGTTACACTGTGATTCTGTTTCTTTATCAGAGGTTAGTAAATTAATTGTTGAGATAGCTAGTGCTAATAATATGAATGTAAAACCAAAGGATTATATAAATACTAATAATTGGTTTGATTTAGATTGTCGTTTAATGATTCGTAACAGAAATAGAGTTTGGAGAGCTTTTAAGAAAAATGGTTTGGAATCGTACCGTAAATTATTTGTGTTATTTCGTGACTTAGTTAAAAAGATTTGTTTAGCTAAGAAGAAAAAGTTTTTGTATACGGTTCAGAATTCCGGGATCTTCCGCAAAAATAATAAACGGTTCTGGAATCTATGTAAAATTAGAAATTATAACAGTAGAGTGAACATCTCTTTGGAGAAATGGTTTACTTATTTTTACTCCTTATGTGGTTCTTCACTTCCTTATATTGTAGATTTGTCTATCTTTAATGAGTGTTTAATTTGATCTAATGAAATTTTAGATGCAGATATTTTGAACTCTGAATTGAGTTATGTTTTAAATAAAATTAAAGTTGGTACTGCGCCTGGGGATGATGGGGATACCTTCTGAATTTTGGAGAATGCTCTAAGTTAGAAAAAATTCGGGAAAGTGTGATTGGAAGTTCTATTATTCCGTTGGAGAATTTTTTGGAACTTATTACTAATTTAAGTAATTTGGATTTAATCAATTAATGGATTCTGTTTTTCCGATATTGCTTAGAAGCTTTGATAGGATCTTAAGATCTGGGGAAGTCCCGAAAGATTGGAGTAGTGCTATTTTATGTCCAGTATATAAAAATGGATCTAAGTCGATCCCTAGTAATTACAGAGGAATTTCTTTACTGAACTGTGTGTCAAAGATATTTTGTAATATATTGTATTATAGGTTGGTTACCTGGTTAAATTTAAACGATGTTTTATTTGAGAATCAGGCCGGATTTCGTGAAAAATACTCTACGCTGGACAATATTTTTATTCTGCATACTCTTATTACTAAGACATTAATGAAAAAAAGGAGAAAAGTTTATGCATTTTTTGTTGACTTGTCCTCAGCTTTCGATACTGTAGATAGGAATTTAATGTGGAAAAAACTCTTGAAATATGGTATTAGTTTTAAATTTGTTTCCTTGCTTACTGAATTATATAAAGAGTGTAATGTGAAGATTAAATGGGGTTGTCTTTGTTCTAGGTCTTTTTTTACTGTTACTGGTGTTAAACAGGGCTGTGTTTTAACTCCTGTTTTGTTTAGTGTATATTTAAATGATTTAATTGAACAAATAACTAATTCCGACTATGAAGGTATTGAGGTGAATGGCATTAACATTAAAATATTGGCCTATGCCGATGATATAGTTTTAATTGCCGACTCAGAGGCTTACAAGGATTTATTAATATTTTGGACAAATATTTACTAGAAAATAATATGAGCCTGAATATTATGAAATCTAAAGTTGTTGTTTTCCATAATGGTGGTAAACTTGCTAAATTGGATAAATGGTGGTTTAGGAATGATGTAATACAGGTAGTTTCCCAATATAAATATCTGGGTGTTGTATTCAGATTTTATGGTAAATTTAAATATCATATTCAGACTGTTAAAAAGAATGCCTTTGTTAAAACTGATAAAGTTATTCAAATGTGTAGATCGGTGAAATTGCGAAATTTGAAAGATTGTCTAAGGATTTTCAATTCAATTGTTAAATCATCCATGTTATATGCATCTGAGGTTTGGGGATACCAATATGACGAGTTGAATCCGGTCCTGGTTAATTTTATAAAAAAGTTATTTGGTTTGTCTCGTTGCACCCCAAATTATTTGATTTTTATGGAATGTTCAATATTACCTTTGTCTTTTACATTATTGAATAAATGTTTGAACTGGACTTTCAGGACTATTGCATTGGATGAAAAACGATGGAGCAGAATATGTTTGTGTTATGTGCTTAATAAGAGAAACTTTCTGTGGTTAAAAGTTTAAGGGAAATTTGTGTTAATAATGGTATTAATTTTGATGAATTATTAAATAAGCATGATAGTTGTTCTATTTTGAAATTAAACTATTTTGATAATTTTATTCTGGATTTGAATCAATGCATTAATGCAAGCTGTTATAATGATTGGTATAAACACTTAAATAAATCTTTTTTTGATTGTTCGCTTTAGAATTATAAATTTTCTCTTAATATTGGTGCCACAGTAATGCAAATCAAATCTAATTCCCTTAATTTTTTACACAATTATCGCAGAGAAATTTGCATGTATTGTCAAGATGATCAGCTATTGGATGCTTTTCACGTGATTACTAAATGCTCTAAGTTAGGAAAAATTCGGGAAAGTGTGTTTGGAAGTTCTATTATTCCTTTTGGAGAATTTTTTGGAACTTATTACTAATTTAAGTAATTTGGATTTAATCAATTTTGTTCAAAAGATTAAATTATTTTTTAGGTAATTTTTGTTGATTTTTATTTTGTTTTAGTAACCCTTGTACAGAGTGACGTACATCGTTGTGTATTTTGCATATTGGAGTATTCATTTTTGCCGAAAGGTGGCATTTGTTTTTTCCTTAAAAATGTGCTTGTGGCTAAGAAGTGTTGGGAGACTATCCACATTTTGGATAAGATAATTGAATCATTTTTCTTTTATAGGTGGGTGTAATTAATGTTTTTTTCTTTATATAATGATGATTTTGGTTGGATAGTTCTCTCCATGATGATTTTTTGTTATTATGTTATATGTTTATATTTGGATATTTGGCTTTCAGATATTTATTTTTGATGTTTATAATAATATTTGTATAATTTTTGTTTTGATTTATGTATATGTTAATTTTCTCTGTAGTAATGGATGGATTATGATATTTTGTGTAATGTACATGTAACGAATTATTGTATACCCCGCATCATGGGCTCTGCCTAGTATGTCTAAATAAATAAAATAAATGTAAAAATTATGAATTTTTTCATGAATGACAAAATATTTTTAAAAAGAATAAGACTGATAGTGAATTAATTATAAATAATTCTAATCTTTCAAATTCTTTAAACTGAATTATTGATAGTTTAAAAAAATGTTTTGATTCTGTTAAATTATATAAATTTATAAAAATAAATTTAAAATGATAAAATTATAGACATCATATATTAAAAATATGTTATACTCACAAGTTCGAGGTGGAGGTGGAGGTGGAGTTTTATTTGGTTGTTGTAATTGATTCTGTGATGAATAAAATGTTAAAATAAAGTATTTATTTATATATAATAACTACTAACTGAAGATTTATATATATATAATTTATAAATTTATTAATAAAAATAATTTAACCTGCATATCAGAAATTTCTTTCAATTTCTTTTCTTGTTCCTTTGATATGTCTGTTAATTTCTGTATTTGCTTTACATAATACTTCTCATTAGAAGCCTTCTTTTCCTGTTCTTTCCTTATCTGTTCAATGCTTTCTTGAAGCGCACTATTCAACTATTTAAAATTTAATAGCTAATATTATAATCAAATAATTTGCTATGCATATGCATTTATTTATAATACAAATTTTGTAAACCTTTTCTATTTCTAAGTTGCGTTCATATAGCTGTTTTTCCATTTTCTTTTGCCATTCTTTCTCTTGTTTCTTCAAATATTTTTGAAGATCAGATTCAACAAAGTTCAACTTTAATAATAACAAAAAATTCCATAATACGTTAATAAATTTGAATTTGAATAGTAACAAAAAATCAAAATGAAACAATATGTATTAAATAACTTTAATCCAATTACAGTCATTATGTATTACATTAATGTTAAATCTATTCAGCTATTAATTAAATTTTTTATTAAAATCAAAAGTAATAATTGTATTTTAAGATACATATTAAAAATATGATTCAAAAATATAAAAAGTATCATTCAAAATTATATTTTGCAGTTTTTAAATAATAATAATCATCCCTCTAACAACCAATTTAAAGTTAACAAAATATCTGTTGGAGATATTTTTAAATTTCCTGTTTAAAATCTTAATTAAATTATTTCTTTTATTTTATTTTTACTATGATCTTCTTCAAATATCTTGTTTTATTAAAATACAGTTTATCTTATGTTAAAAATTTTAAATAGCTAGTAGAATTATAATTAGTTTAACAGAAATCTGAATATAAAATTTGAAATAAGTTTTAAAAGTTTCAAGAAAAGAAAGTGGTCTATTGAGAAATAAAAATGTTTATACTAATTTTAAATAATTTCAAGAATATTTAAGGTAATTTCAACATTTTACTTAAAAATACTTTTAATATCATTAAATTTTATTCTATACTGACTCATAAGACATTTAACATATTATCAATAATTTCAAAATATTATATTAAAACAAATATATTATTATGCTGCCTATTCATGAATTGTATTGGTAAGATAAAATTATGACAGGCTATCCTCATTTATTTATAAACTGTATTTTAATAAAACAAAATATTTGAAAAATATCTTAATAAAAATAAATTAAATAAAATAAATAAATATTTAAATTTAAAAATTTTTCATGATTAATTTACAAATATGTAACTTTAAGAATTTTTATCTTATTTAATAAAAATGAAACAAAAATATTCAAATGAATATATTAAATTTAATTTGATAATTACAAGTCGTAATGACCCACTTGAGACTCAAATTGTTCTTTTAATGCTTGCACTTCTTGTTCTCTTTCTAAAGATGATGAATGTTGAAAATGACTTTTTTCTAAATATAATTGACTAACTTGAGCATATTTATCTTGCAATTCTTTTAATGCTATTTCTGAATTTTGATGTTTTTTTTCTACTTCTTTTAACTCTTTCATAAATGTATTTCGTACAGCTTCTAATTCAGCCTTTGTGAAAAGAAAGATATTATATTAAAAAAACAATTAAGATATTAACAGTTATTGATAAATTATAAAATGAAACAGAAAAGTAAATAATAAATGAGAGACAAAATAAAAAAAATAAAAAAACATTTGGGTAGAAAAGTTGTATACACTTTTTCATTTAATCTTTGTATACAATCTCTATTCTCAAATTATATTTTGTAAAGTTTTTCTCTCAAAAAAATTAAATTACTTCAAACTGAAATTAACAATACTTTTCACAAGAATTATAATAATTACTGGAATTATATCCAGTATTCATATTTATTAAATATTTTTCATTAAATTGGGTGTAATAGCAAATACTATTCTTTCATATTTGATTACATTTCATTAATATATTTTCAATGTTGACAAATATTGATTTATGTAATTAAATAATGTATATACCAACTTAAATATTTTTGAAAAGAGTCTTAAGAAATAACTATAATATCTAATTCTAAGATAAATACTCCTCTTTATCACATTTGGAAAAAAATTATAACTTTCATATGTATAAATTATTTTCATTTTATTCACTATATATGTTTTTACATACTGTGTGCCTGGTCATTTCATCTTTCTTCCACTCTTCTATTGATTTCAATAACATTTCCTTTTCATTAGCATATTTCTCTTCTATCTACAAAATATAAATTTAATTAACATATTTGTACTTGAAAAACAGAATGATTAATTTATTAATATGAAATTTAAATTATTTTTCTAACTATTTAAATTTAACATGAAAAAATATGCCTACGTAATCATAGAAAATCCCATAAAAATGCTAAAACTGTTCAATTAGTCAGGAGTTTTATTCTAGATTAAATGTTATTTAAGACATTAATGTCTCATCATCACATCAAATACTTTAAAAATATTAAATTCAAATAAAAACAATATCTTAAGAATATTCTAATTCTCATAAAATTTTACAACAAAATTAGTTCAAAAATAAAATGATATTACGTTTAAAATATCAGATAAAATAAAAAATAAAACAGTATGAAAAAATAACTAATATTCACATCTACTATTTAGAAGACAAAACAAAACAAAAAAAGTTATTTGTGTTGTCTTAATGAATTTGTCAGACAAACCCGGGGGTCCACATTGCTATCCTCTGTTCTTTTGTTTGAAATTAAATTGATACTAGTTGCTTTGGTTAGCTCTTCTGCAATTCTTAAAAGGACATTCTTTGTATTGGCTGTAATAACCTCTACCTTATCTCATTTAGAATAATTCTTCAACTAAGCTATATTCACTCTTCCTTTTCTAAAGTCTCTACATGTTCCTTTAAGTCATCTCCCAATTGTACAGTATATGCAATAAAGTTTTCATTTTGTTCTTTTTAATTTAAAAAAAGCTGGCAAGCAGTGGCGTGCCATCCTTGGAAGTGGTGGAAGTGCCGCTTCCCTTGTATTTCTAAAATATAAATACATATTGCACAATTATTTTCATATTTTAACTTTAACATTTTAATATTAATCTAAATAATTTTATTTGTTTGTTAAAATATATTGCATGCAATTTAAAATATCCATAAAAACAACTCTGTTGTTATTTTTTTAACTTNTATCCATTGTCATAAAAATTTGTCTTTCCACTTCTTTCCCAAGACTACAAATATTCAAGTACAAAGTAACCGGATTCAACTTATTTTTACATAAGTAGTTAAATAATTAAGAGATTAGGGAATTAGGAACATAAAATTCTGTTGATAAAGCCGGAATTTTATTTAAAAGCTTAACTGAACCAATCTCTTGCCAAGTATAGTTGAGACTGATTTCTTCGTAATATTAGATGCAATAAAGACAGAAATTTTTCTAGTTCAATAAGAGTGACTGAAAAGTAAATTTCGGAAATTTCTGTGGATACCTGGTCCTAAAACGAATTAGTTAGAAAACAAATGATGGACAATCTACTTAGTATTAAGTTTAACATATGTAGATTTTACAACTATAGTGAGAAATGTTTAAAATTTACAACAACCCTGTCGCGTCCTTTGAGGTATTACTAGTGATGCGACAAAAGAGGAATCCATTTGACTTAAAAATTTAGAAACATTGACCTGTATCGGCACTCCTGGGATTTGGTAGCTGCGTGCATCCATGCACTGCACACAGGACTGTCTCTGATTCTATCCATTAGCCACTCGTAGGGAGCTATTTGACTAAGTAGATTGTTTTAAGATTTAAAAAGTAAAGAATATTTTATGTTATTTTTTATGTACTTTTCTTTACAAAGCTATATCTATACTAATATTATAAAGAGGTAATGTTTGTAAGTTTGGATGTAGGGGGTAATCTCCAAAACTACTCATCCGATTTCAAAAATTCTTTCACCAATATTTAGAATGGAACTTAAGGGTGGACATAGGCTGTATATTATCATTAAACATTCATATAAATTAAAAGATATCATCTAGAGTTAAGGCTTTTATGTCCAACAGATGGCGCTACAAATATGACAACCTAAGTTTGCTTTTCTGTGAGGCATTATATTTTTCTGTGAGGATGAACTAAAGCAGATCATCTATCTATCTATATAAATAAAAATGTAATGTTCGTTTGTTCCTACCTTCGATGTTGTTTGAAATTTTGACACAACACTGCATTCGAATATGCATGTGTTTTTATATAATATACATGTTGAAAGTCCCCCCACTGGGGGGGAGATGGACAGGATTAAGGCTTACCGTAAAGAACTCTGCTTCTATTTATACTATTTTAGAGGTGGTTTTTTGCGTTTTTGATTGTGTTTTAATAGGGTACATCAACAAAATATACACTAAAAAGGGATTTTTCGATATTCCCCCGCGGGGGAGAAGGACAGGATTAAGGCTTACCATGAAGAACTTGGCTTCTATTATACTATTTTAGATGCAGTTTTTTGCATTTTTGATTCGTTTTAATAGCGTACGTCAAGAGAATGTACACTAAGAAGGAATTTTTCGAAAAATTCCCCCCACGGGGGAAGTGTTATACATTTATAATAGATACATTTTGAGCCACAACACGCGTGGCGGGGTCTGCTAGTTTAATTATAATTTTCTTTAAAAGTATATTCATACAATTAAAGAATATTTTGTATCAGTATGTATATCCACCACACATTTTATTTCACCAAGTAAGTTTTTATATTTTTTTAAATTTTAGCCCTTACATTGTGGCTAGCAATTCAGAATGTAATTGTGATATTAAAAATACATTTAGAGAAGTTTGCGGTTTTTACTGGCTTATCGAACAAAGAATATGAATGGATCCTAGACCATCACACGCAATTAACTGATTGCCTGTGGAAATTGGCTTCTTACAGAAACAGCTTCCCTATGATCAAATGTCATGGCACACCACTACCGGCAAGGGCTCTTGCTCAACTTTCCTGGCACTTGAACAAGAAGTTAAGGGGACACATAGGAAGTCCACTAATTTTTGATTACACTGTGATATAAAATTTAAATAATAACAATTGCTTAAGAGGAGTAATTTTGTTATGAGAAATTTCTCTATTTAAAAAATATTTAAGTTTAAATAAAACTATTGGATAAGTCACATTATCTCAAAGTTAAAATTGTGTGTAGCACCATCTGTTATGAATCATCATCAAGTGTAACCTTTGGATGTCAGAAGTGCTGTTTAAAAATTCTCAAACTTGCCTGAAAGTTTTACAGAGAAAAGAAAGAAAAAATTATTAGATTTTACTTAAAAGTAATTTTCATACTATTTTTATAAAAAGGCAAAAGGCTTTATTTTCAGTGTACAGATGAATTTTTTAAAAAACTTGTAAATGCCAATAACAAGTAAATTTTTCATTAAGTCTGACCCCACTCAAGATATAACATATGACCTCCCTCTATCTCCCCATTTCCTTGGCTTTTAACTCCTAAAATTTAATAGAATCAATTCCCTATATACAGAAATAATCCTGCCAAGTATCAAAATTTTTGATTCATCCAGTTTTGAGATATAATGCAAAACAGATGCTGATACACACACACACACACCCATACTCACATACTGTACGTACAGAATTTTTAAGATTTTGCTTTTTCTACATTTTAGGCTCCTTGAGTGTCAAAATATCAATAAATGCAAAAAAGTCAAGGGGTCAAAATTTGACCAATCACCATACTTTTTCTACATTAAATTCTATAATAGGCAGGAAAGTAATGTATCATATGTTAGGATTCATACTTTTATGCTTCTGTATCTATTTTAATGTAATTTTTTAAAGAGTTTTTATAATATATTTTATATAACTACTATTGAAATTATTTGATTCTTTAAATAGCAACTGAACAATTATTTTTATACCATAAAGAAAGTTAATTTGACTAAATACTGTGAGAGACCAGATCAGATGGAAATTTTATTTAACTGCAACCAAATATTTCAAATTTGTTAAGAATAATGCTTAAATCTCACATATTCTATAAAGAAAATTTTCCCAACAGAAAAAAAAAACTGAAAGGATGTGATCACATCTTTCCTCCGATCTACTTCCTTTCCCAAGGTGACACATCTTCCGAATGTATGTGTCACCAGAAACTTTCATCCAAAATTCACCTATTGGTCAAAAAACTTAACATGGCAAAAAAAAGGGGCATCGAAATCAAAGAGGAAGACCCCCTAAATAAAAGACGAACATCGGAATCGACACGAAGAGTTCGCCGACCTCTTCCTTTCCATGTGAATGTTCCATTGCCAATCCTTCTGACTGCCCTTCACCATAGACTCCTTAGAAACAAACTTTTTGATTTGAGAGTTAGGCCGCTTGTAACCCTGTCATCAGGACATTTTGCGATTTCAAGACTTCAATCAAGCCAATTCAACCGATCAAGATATTTAACCTCATGTGAAAGAATGTAAGCTCTCTCTCTCAGCTAACTTAGTATAAAGTAACAAAAAATATTACTCTACTGAAGCTTTATTCATTTTCTGACACTAGAATGCTAGAATGTTATCTTATGTATACATGCAAATAATTTAATATTATACAAAAATAAACAGGTATTTTTTTATTTAAGTAGTAGTGTGCAGTTCTTTTGGCCTCATTGTCTCTCAAGACGTCCAACTCCTGAATCCTACCGCTCGCATGTGAATGAACGAATCACCATCTCCTATTCTGACACAGGCATCATGTGTCTGATGCCGTCCCTCTGGTCACAACACCAATCACTAGCAAACTTGCTAATAATTTGTATTTATAAAAATATTTCAATTATGATCAATATATTCAAAAATTCCAGTTGTATTTGTCGAATAATCAAAAAATTATTTGACAAATACAACAAAAGATTTTTCTGAAAATTAATAATTTTCAGAAAATTTTTTTTTTTTTTAAACTCTGATGAGTGGGTTTTACTAAATGCTCTCTCTACCCCTAGAGTGAGATAGTTTTTTTAAAAAATGTAACATTTACAAAAAAAATTTATGGGAAAACTTATCAAAGAGTTAACATTTAAAATAACAATACCAAAATTAAAATTTTTATAATAATTTAGTTTATGTGAACAACTGAACCTAAAAAATAATTTATTTCTTGTTATTCTTTATTTCTTTAAACCAGTGTTTTTCAACTTTCTTGAATACGCGACCCCTTTACAAGTTAAAAAATTCTGGCGACCCCCCACTGCCATATTAAAACTATATCAGTGATTTTAAAAACTACTGTACGTATTTAATTTTCTTTCTGTTGAGTTTTAAATATCGATAAAAAAACCAATTGTACTGTAAAATAAACAGGTACAGCCTTCTCACTGAAATTGAAGTTTTTTTTATTGTAGTGTAGGACCTACAAACACTTGTCTTTTTCTTTCACCCACAACCCCCGTGTATGGCTTTGCGACCCCCCTGAAGGTCGCGACCCACAGGTTGAAAAACACTGCTTTAAACTAATATTAAAATTACTTACAATTTTATTTCCATTGATTACATTTTCTCCTGTAAAATTTCCTAGAGAACTTTTTGTAAATTTTTCTTTGATATCTTCTAACTGTTTACCTAATGCTATAAGTACATTTGTATTTTCTTTAGATTCAATATTCTCATGGGGTATTTTATCTGCAAATTCTGGATGTCTCCTTAAAATGTGACTTTGAAGAAATGATGGGCCAATAAAAGTTTTTGGACAATGAGAGCACTAAAAAAAACATTTTATGTTATTCAAAAATTTATTTTTAAAATATTTTATACTTTAAAAACATAAAAATTACCTGGGAATATTGTTTATTTAATGATTCAAAGTATTGTTGTTGGGCTGCTAACTGTCGTTTTCGTTTTTTGTTTTCTTTCTTTAAATCATTTATATACTTTTGATCTTTTGATCGAGCAATTTTTTCTTCTTCTAAACTGCCTAAAGTTTGTTTTAACTTTTCTTCCAAATTTTGGATTACATTTGCTAAATATTCTTGAGAATGCTTTAAAACAATTTTAAATGTTAATTTAAAATACGCTTAATTAAATAAACTTTTATTGATTTATCACTAGTAAAAGAAAATTGATTTTATCAATCAATAATTATCAGTAATAATAATATTACATCAACAAAGATAAAAATAATTTATTTTAGTATTCAAATTTAAATACATTTAGCCAAACACTCTTGAATTATTATTATTTATTTACACTTATTTATTTCATGATATCAATTTCAATTTAGATAATAAAAAATTTAAGTTTTTTATTGCCAGTTTTTAAAATTTTTATATTTAACAATTGGTTAAATTTACAATCAAACTGTCTCATTAAATGATTCTTTAACTTTTTGATTAACTATATATTAACTTAACAAAAACTAATACACTTTTTTTATTAGAAATACTTTAAAGTATATTAATTTCTTAATATTATATATTTTAAAAAATTTACATTTTAGCATTAGTCAATTTTGCATCATTTCTTTAAAATCATTATAATAAAATTTTTTTAAAGTAAGAACATTATATTTTCTTAATATTTACCAATAAATATTCAATAATTAACTGTGCTAGCTTATATAATTTGATGTAATTGGGATCCACAGAGTTTCTATCCTGAAATGATTAAATGACATTCATGTAATATGTGCACAATTTATGTATTATACATTATGTTATTTAAAATATTAAAAAGTTAAAAAAAAATAATAATTAATTAACAAATATTGTACTTCCCTGATTAAACCCTGGGAAAAAAGCTGCTGTTAAAAATAAACCTGAGGTCAAAAAGCTTGGGAATCATGTAAACTGTATAGGGTAACAGTTTAGAGTGACAGGTAAGAAACTTAACTAAAATTCTACCTAAAGATTAAAATCCAGGATGAAATATTACAATATTGCAGACTAAATATAAAAAATATTTTTGAGGTCTATTAAACATTGAATTCACAATCACTGGAACACAATTAACACTAGTGGAGTTGACCTTTCTCTATAGGTTCTTCACTGCCTATACTTATTCAAGTTGTTTAATTAAAAGTTCTTGTAATATTGGATATTTATAAAAACTTCTTTGTAAAGATTAAAATCCAAAACAAAATTTTTTTCAATCTCTACAAAAATAAATTTATAAATATCTGATGTCACAAGAACTCTTAAATAATTTGCATAAATATAGGCAAATAAGAGCCTATAAAAAAAGGTCAATTCCACTAATGTGTTCTGGTGATTGTTAATGAACACTTAGTAGACTTCAAAAATATTCTTTTTGTATTTAGTCTCCAATATTGTACATTTTAAAAATTCTACATCTTCAAATTGTCTCCAGTCAGACAACACTTTCTAGTCCAAGGTTCAAGGGAGCATTTTTGAAAATATAGTTATGTTGCTGTAATGAGCATGAGAAAGTTGCAATCAAATTCTTAAGTCAAGAGCTTATCAGCCAAATTGTAATTAGGAAGACTTGAATTGGAAATGACGAGTTTGAACCTGAAGACAGTAGTCAAGATACTGATTCTTACAATGACAACGTAACAACAGAATCAGAAGATGCTGAATTAGATTAACTATGAAAACAGTAATTATTTTAAATATAGCTGTAACACAGTCAGTAAATGGTTTTGATCGTTTCAAAAATATACAAGTAATTAAAATATGACTTTCAATTTTTACCCACTCATCTGTTGAAAGATAAATCTTAGCCTTGAAAAAACTTTGAGACCTCAAATAAACCCCAAGATATGTACATTTTAAAAACAACTCCCTTGGAGTTTAATCGGAAAAGTACAGTATATTAATTTTCAATGCTAATTTTAATTAAATTCCTATCTTTGACTCAATCACACATCATTGATTTATGATCAAAATTTGCAATTAAATTATATAATAATAAATATTAATCTAAATAATTTTATTTGTTTGTTAAAATATATTGCATGCAATTTAAAATATCCATAAAAACAACTCTGTTGTTATTTTTTTAACTTTATTGCTTAATTTTGAATATATCTATTTCAAATTTTGGAAAAATAAAGAAGATACATAAATTAAAGTAAAGTAGTTATTATTAAATGAGAAAAGAGCTTGTTTTTAATATGAAACCAAAATAACCTTAATGGAACTAGTTGATGTATTATACACAGTACTAGTCAATATTGCTATTGATTTTTAATAGATATATAATTTATTCCTATAACTAAAATATCACATATAAGTACTTATTATTAGTAATAATAACTAATCAATGAATATTTTAAATATATTTTTAATTGATTAAACACAAAATAAAATATGCATCAATTTTGTTTTCCTTTGATAAAACACTAATTTAAAACCCATTCTAATTCAGATATTCTTTACATGTTTTAACACTATATATATTGAAACTTTTTAATTAAAAATAAATAAAATTTCCAAGATATTGTGTTGTCATGACAAACTGATAGTCATATTTTATTATATGAATAAATTAGCTTATACAATAATTATAAATTAATCATTTATATTTTGTATTTATAAAAATGTTTTGAAATAACACAGCAACATTTTTTTACAATATAAAAGCAGTTTAATAATAATATGTACTCTTTACACACACAAACCTGTACAGAAAAGTAAACATCTCATTTACATAAATAAATTATTCTAAAATAATAATATCTTTACACGCAAATATATTGATTGTTTACACAGTAATATTAATATCAGTGTGCCTAAATAGCTGTAGTCTTTCTAATTTTCACAAAACATATTCAGTGAATAAATTCTTAATGCTGGCTCTCCACTTAGTGCAATCATATTGCCATCACCCGATGATTCATAGAGCAACACAATTGCTGTCCTACATGCCCCCACATTTTGTGCAAAATGGAAGATGATTTGCAATGAAGTATGGGAATTTTTTAAAATGGCAGAAAAACTTTTAACTTAGAATAAAGATTTATATTTTTAAATTTAATTTTTTAACCTAATATTTGCTATTTTTTGCATCTTTTCAAAATATCCACACCACGAAATATGTGATGCCAAGGATAATGGGTAAAAATATGATGTCATGTACACTTGAAATTATGGATGCGGCATGCCAATTGGCTGCAACAGAATCACTATATGTGAAAATATACGTTGTCCCACTACTCTGTTGCCAAAGTACTCAAAGGCAATTTTACTGCACATGAGCAGTGACTAAGGTGATTGAATCACTTCAGAATCAAGCTAAGTGGAGAGTTGGCATAACAGAAGAGATATTATAAATTTATTTTGTGATTCACTATAATCATATTACATATTGTATTTTCATTCACTATCAAATCTAAACATTACTTTGCATATTAGTCCCTCTAATTTGATGGCTAGATGGCCAAGCAGTTAAGGTGCCAGCTTAGAGCTCTCAGGGTCCCAGGATTGAATCCAGATGAGTCAAAATCCTTGGAATTTTTGGGAGTTATACATCAGGAAATATCAAGCCCCACCTTTCACCTGATAGGCATGGCCAAACCATAATGGGTATTAAAAGAGATGTTCTCTTAGTGCCCCTAGGGCAGAAAGAGTTAAAAAAAAAAAAAAAAACAAGTCAGCAATGAGTTGCTTAACTTTACCAGCAACATTTAAAAACTGTGTTTAGCACCATCTGTTATGACAGGGGTGGCCAACCTGCGGCTCTTTGAAGGATTATTTGTGGCTCTCGATAAACGTACCCGAGTTCCCTTTTCATCTTTGTGTTATTATATTTTTAAAAATTATTATCGTTCCGTATGTGTTTCAAAATGTCTTTTAAATTACTAACAAATATGAAAGACTAAGTGCAACGGTGTAACAAATTTCATTTCCGTCCAAGTTAAGAATGATATGACTCATCGAAAACTGTGCAAACGAACATAAACAGTGGCGTAATCATCTGTTATCGACCAACTCCAGACCAATTTTGAATTTGTAAACTGTCATTGCAACGGACAGTTGACATTGTGCTCTGGAGGAAACAATTTGTATCACTCTTGCTATGGATATAATTTGTAATCTGGAATTTTTTGCATACCTTTTTAATATGTATTTAATTGTGGCTCGCAAAAAATTTCAAATTTTGAAAAATGGCTCGGACTATCAAGGAGCTTGGCCACCCTGGTGTTATGATATTATTAAAAATGCTTCATATTTTTAATTATTATAAAATGGCAACAAGCTTAATTTTGAGGGCAAGGATGGATTTTTTAAAAAATTGTAAATGCTAATAATGAGTAAAATCATCATTAAGTCTGATCCTACTGAAGATACTCATGACTCCTTTTATCTCCCCACCCCCTAGACCTTTAATCATCAAAATTTATTAGCATCAATCCCACTAATAAACAAACCTCCTTGCCAAATTTAAGAACTTTTGACAAAAAGCAGAGGGATTATTAAACTTGAAACAGGGTGAACAAAATTATGCCCCCCACACACCAAAATTACCCCCGAATTTTTTTGCATTTCTCAATGTTTCAAGGTGTTCTAAGTCAAAAAATGCAAAAATCTTGAGGTGATCATTTTTTGACCAATCGCCATACTTTCCCTCGTATATATAACAGCCAAAAAAGTAAAAAATAGGTAAAAATTATCAAGTTGTTTTAAATATTATATTTATGCTAATATTAAATTATATTTGGACAGTATTTAAAAAAGTGCTTATATACTGAATTTGTTTAATAAAAGTATCACAGAATTTACGATAATACTATGTAATTTTTATAACAAAAATTATTTTAAAAATTTCATATTAACAAGAAAATTACAATTAATGATTATCAATACTTAAAAACATATTGTAACAGAAATATATAAGAAAGACAGTAATAAAATAAAATGTATGTATTACAAATTATAATCATCAAAACTGGAAAGTTTTACAAAATATAAAGAATTTTTATTCTGTTTACTATTTAATATTTAAAAAAATTTCATTATTTAAGTTAATATTTTCATAAATAAAAACATATTTTATAATTTAAATTTTAAATAATTTATACATATTCTATTTAAAAATTAACTAAAAAATAAAATTATTTGCTTACAACTTCATGTTCAATATCACAAAATGTAACATGGACAATATTATCTTGCAGACAATGAAAATCAAGACTTTGTGATAGTTTTCCAATATCTATTGAAGCTATTAAAAAAGATAAAAACTTAGTTGAGTATAATAATTAAAATATTTTATTACAATTTCATTTATCATCTTGTCAAAAATAAGATGTAATATGACAATTAACAAACATTCATCTCTGTATTAACATTATAACAAATATTTAAATTTTTTTTTACTCAAGAACTAACCTAATTTTTTCCAATCGACTCTTTCATTTCTTTTACGAAACGTGAATCCATTAGTTGATACATCATGATGTAAATTAGCATTTGAAGGAGCGGCAGGCATTTCCATTTTATCCTAAAGAATAAGTTAAACATAATCAAATAATAAATTTGTTAATCTATATAATATTAATAAATGTCCAATAAAATGATAAATTTTATATTACTATTCAGATTTAAGATATATTCATTTGTACTAAAATAGAGTTTTAATACAAAATATTCAATTGATTTCTGTATTATTGATATATTGATTTTTGAACAGTTGCAACTTCTTTACTGTCACAATCATATTTGCTTTTTTTTTATTTAAGTTTTTTTTTCAGATAATATTTTATTATTCAAAAAAATCCAAATATTTTCACATATGTTAGTTTATACACATGATAAATACACATTATTGTTTTCAACATATAAACAATGTTGTAAAGAATAGCTTGTAATAGTATATTATGCAATTAGTTTATAATATAGGCGATTATGGAATGAATGAAAGTTTACACGAGTAGATAGAGCGAGTGGGCAAATTTCCATGAATGCCATAATCGCTAATTATAAATGAATTGTCATATGGTATTTTGTGGTTAGACTACATAAATATATATAATGAAATTTATATTAATGGATATGTACTTTCCAGAGAATTGAGAAAAAACAATTAATATTTTTTTTCTCAAATAGGTTAGAAAAAATAAAACTAAATTATATAAAGTTCTCTTTTTCTATTTTTAACTAAAATTAATCTAATTAAAAATAATTCAAAATATATTTTCACCATATATATTATTCAAATATATAATAAATAATGGTAGACTATCTACACCGGAGTACTGTAACACAACCATGTATCTATAAACCTTTTATAGATACGTGGTTGCGATATAATAAATATGAAAAATTATGCAAATATTTATTCTCATAGGCTGAAAGAAAATGTAATTAAATGTATCATAAGTTTAATAAAATTCCATTCATTAATACAATATTTTGGAAACTGTCATATTTAATTTATTCTCAAATGACATCCAATAATTTTAATCTAACAGCATTCAATTAGCTGAATCAATAAATATACCATATTTATGAATATATACTGATTCAGCTAATTGATTGCTATTCAATTCAGAACTTGATTGTATAAAAAAGTGTTAAAAGCTAGTTAAACTGAAAGATGACAAATTATATCCTTTATTAATAATGTGTATGAAGAAAAATCATATACTCACAAAATCTGAAAAATAATGACATAATAATTTGAATTGTACACTTTGTAATATTTTCAATTTTACTGAATTATTAATATAGTGAATATTGTTATTGTAACTATACTGATCATAAATATTTTTATTAATCATTAGTCATTTAACTTAAAAAACATTAAAAGATGCATTAGCCATTCCAGGTGATTGATAAGTGAAAGAAATTACAGTACATTATAATTAGAGATTTTGATTGATAACAAACTGCATTTATTTATGTATACATATAAATTAATAAAATTTTATTACAAAAACTTATTAAACAGCCATAGATGTATCTACTGTAAAATTAATATACAATTCTTTATATTGTGTATATTTACAAACAAATGTTTTGTTAAGATATATTTATATGCATGGGTGTCCACAGAGGCAAATGAAGCACTTGCCCTCCCCTGGGATCAAGTAAAATATTCCACAATATATAATCATACAAGCAATTACAATACATAACCTTACACCCTCAACCTCAGGATGCTTTGATGCAATACTGTATTCTATAATCTACTCGTGAAAAAAACCCCAAAAAATTAGATAATTTTTTTGGGTTTTTTTGGAGGGTGAAAAGCAACAAATAATTACATTATTTGTTGCTTTCACTTGTTTTCCCCTCCAAAAATTTTTGTAGATGCCCACATTTATATGCATAAATGCAAAAATCATCATTTTTAAGAATTTTTCTGTAGACATAATACAGTAAAACTTAACTAATTCAGATTTGCAATATGTAAACAGCAACGACAAGAACAATGCCACTACTACTCTACATGGAAAAAGTTTATTGAACCACCGTATTCGTCCATTTAAACTGCACAATATAATCCGACTTTAAATATAATTTATTTTTCATACTTCAATTAAGAATCTCACTAATTTGGACTAATCAGAGGAAGTCTAGTTGGAATTAGCAAAATATACGCACAAGCACATGTACGTAACATTACACATTATCCAATAAGAAAAATTAGAAACAAAATAACTTACTTACTTTTATTACTTATTTAATGCTGTTAAAATCAAATTAAAATTAGCCAGAAAATTAGAAAGACAACAAAGCTGTGTTTGAATATATTAAATAAAAACTGAAATTAAAATGTATGTGATCAAAGACATTAACTTTAAGTGGATCATCATATATTTTAAGGAAGATTTAATTCTCAGAAAGTGAAAGATGTAATGAAGCCAACACCTAGAGCAATGCTATAAATAGTATACACAACCTTTATAAAAAGACTTTTGTTTTTTTTTTATTTCTCGAATTAAAAAATTGCAAAATGAAAACTTGAATTGTCTTCCATATATTAGAATATCTCAAGAAAAATCAAGTATTAAAAATAATTAAAATTCAACTTATTAAATAAAATTAAATATAACAATATTAAATCAAATCCCCGTAAAATAATTGATTTTAATAACTTAATACATTTTAAAAATTCATAAATTATACAAAAATTATATACACAATTAACCTTATCCCATTCTTTTTTTAAAGCGATATTCAAAATCACTCAGCGCCATTTTGTAAACAATCTTACAGTTGCCATGGTCACGAATATATATATATATATTTTTTTTTTCGATTAAAACGTTTTAGTATATATAAAAAATTAATTATTATACAAAATAAACGATAAAAAGTCGTTATTATAATATCGACATTCTATCATTCCGTATAATTTTAAAAAATTACAAAATAAATATTTCGTACGTATTTGTTAAAATTTATATTTTTATCATAAATGTATTTATTAATGTATTATTAATAAGTTAATAGATTTAAGAAAAGGTATAAAGTGTTTTTTTAAATTTTCAGAACGGACCAATCTGAATCCAACACGATTGAAAAGCAGTCGACAGCTGAAACGCGAATTACTATTTTACACATTATACAAATACGATCGGGTTTATGTATGGTTAAAGTTGATTTTCTGTCGATTAGAACTTTGTGTGAATTTCATTTTTAAATCGAGCTATGCCAAAAACATCTATTTATAGAGTATTTTCTTCATTTTGGGTCTTCCTATGTACTTTTGATTATCAGTTCGAAGGTAAATGAATCTTTTAATTTATCTACTTTCAATGCTAAATTTCTTTATATGACTCCTTGATTTATCAAATTGTTATAATAATTTAGTTATAATTTTATGAATATTTATAAATGAGTTTTATTATTTCATATTAAGTTTATTTCAATGATTTCATTTCATTTATAGACTTTTAATGTTGTATCATGTGTTCAGAAAAATATTAAATTACTTCTTAAGATGAAACGTAAGTATCAGTTATCGACGAGAGAGATACTTTTGAATCACTTCGATTATTCCACGGCAGATCTTTTGATCAAATGAATCTGCTATTTGAAATATTGGTAATATTTACAATTTTAACAATATTGCACGCAAGAAAAAGTATTTATACTTTTTACTATTAAAGCAATATTGAAGTCGAGTTCCTAGTGACTGCCAAATAACTAGATCGGTCGGCATGTGACTTAACTCGTGTGACCTGTTGCTAAAGTGAAAGTCGAAGTTCGGATGCAAAAAAACAAAATGGGTTATTCGTTCGTTCTCTTGTGAGAACGGTCGAGTCGGCACGAGTATACTCTGTTGTTTGTGTTGTGTGCCGATAGCTAATGTTTTCTGAAAAATAAACTTGTTTATATTGTAGAACTGGGTAAAATTATTTTGTCTCTGGTTAGTAATCTTATGGCCAAAATGTGATAGAAGGAAGAGTTGTAGCTCGCTTTTCAAGTAAAAAATTTTTATTGAAAATTTCACTTGTGTAGTTCAGCTGTTTAACTCATCAATTAATTAAGCTAGTAGTATGATAGTTACGAGTAGATTCTGAATTGTCTCAATTGAAATTTTGTCTTATGATTTTCAAGTTAAATTTAAGACACTAGTTCAATAGGATAAAAGTGTTGGAGGGGAGAAAACTGCCTTCTTGTATTAAAAACTAGATGACTTTAAGTTGCAGTGTGTGACAGCACATTGTCATGAATGTTTTGATTTTATGTGCAAAAACCTTTGTTGTAATCTGATGAAAAATTCTTTTTAGTAATATTTGTTACCAGTTTGTCCCTGATGTTCAAATGCTTAATGTATAATGTCTTGATGACTAAAAAAGCACATGAACATTGTCTTTACTTTAGACTTGTTCAACTACTATGATGATGTATGTTGTAGTTACTTTTAATTTTGTTTTAAAAACCAACATATGAAAATAAATGCCTTGTAATACTTTTAAAATATATTGCAATGCCTTTGTAATTACTTGTTTAGCAAAAACTGCACAAATGTTTTTAAATTTAACTTAAACTAAGAGACTGTCAGATTGATGTAATTTGTTTCATTTCATCATTGCCACCTTGCAAACTACAAAATTAATCTCATTACTTTTAGTTACTATATAACTAAAAGTTATATATTACTATGACATCTTCATGCATTATGAAGATAAATTTTTTTAAAATGCTACATTTTCATTGATTATATTATAATAGATCACTTTTAAATTGTTCTAATAATCATTATATGTAATAATTTCATTTTTATTTTCAGATTAAATATGCTGAATTTTCATTAAATAAACATATATCTATTACTGACTTATGTTAAAATTATATATAACAATGACAAATGTAAATCATCAAATTATATATTAAAATAACCAACCTTATTATTATACACAATTTCAAGATTACATTTAAATTATGATAATACCATCTAGTTTTAGTACAAAATTTTTTGTATTTTAATTAAAGTTTTAAATAATTTGATACTTGGTTCAATATATGTAAAATAATAATAGAGATTAGATTATCCTATTGAACATTCTTAATTATTTGTTATAAAAAAAAAGTCATTCTAGATTTGCAGTTTCATGTAAAAGTTCATTGCATTTCAAGCAAGAAATTCTAGCATTTTTATTGAATGAATAATTTTTTAGTGTTTTAACATCAAGGATTTCTAGAATTTCTTATGAAAATTTAAAAATAGCTGCTTTCACTTTTCTGTTACAAGGTTTCAACAAGGTTTCATCAGATCAATTTGATGTAAATAGTTAATTGTTATCAGTTAACAATACCCAAATTCAGGTTTTAATTAAAAAAGGACAAACATTTAATAATTTGATGTTTGCAATAACACTAAATGTATTGAAAATGTAGTCAGATCATTTGAAAATGAGTTTTGTGAATGAATAAAATGTATGGATATCATATTTGCTTAATATTCTTTCAACTTGATACAGAATTAGTTTCTGTATCGATATAATATTGCAGGATACTAATTGCAAAATGTTAGTAATAGTGCTAAAATCTCTGAATTTGGCAAATGAAGTTAATATTTGGAATGCAACTATACATGAAACTATACAATCTACTATTGGCATTAATAATTTAGTAAATTGAAGCAAAATTAAATTTTAATGCATTTGGAAAACAACTGTCAAGAAAAGAACTTGCAACTTTATTATATTACATATATGAAGGCATAAGACAAAACATAGGATGAAAACCAATGGCATACAAAAACATTTGCATAAAAGGATTTATAAAATCAAGTAGGTGATGTGTATAATGGTCTGTTACTTAATTTAATCTACAGCAGGGTCACCAAACTACGTGGCCCTCAAGGTCAGTTCATCTGGCTCACTGCCACATTGTGCCACAAATGAGCTAAAATATAATGTTTTATATGAAAATATCATATCAATAGATTGTAGATGAACTTACTATGTAGAAAAAATTAAAATAAGCATAAGTAAAAATGCCAAAATTCATCCAATCTGGTGTTTGCATCTGACAGTTATATAATATTTAGGAAAATCAGTGAAATAAAAAAATTCTGTGATTTTTTTTGTGACTTTGGATATCAGAGCACTTTTTATATAAGTACTGGTACCTACAATGAAGTTTCTAAGAAAAGCAATTAAGAGCTTGTTGCAGCAATTGTGTTTGTATATTAGTAAATAAATATATTGGTTGTCTTTATTTTCTATGTATTCAGTATACTGTATTGCTCGCACTTGTCATTCTCTGTTATGTGGCCCACTGTGAAAGAAGTTTGGTGACCCCTGATCTACAGCATTTTAAATAAATGTATAAGCAGAATGGCATTTCATCGCTACCAAGTGAATCATTTTAAGCATTTTTTAAGTGAATTATTGGGTATTCCTATCAAAACTGAAAGAACTTATCCTTTTTAGTTTTTCATTATTATTTCCTATCACCTTCATCTTCATCCACACATTGACACAAAATGTTTTCCATCTGTGATTGTAGTATTCAAAAACACTACATTTAAAGAATTTGGCTCTTCTTAGCTGTTTTATATGGATCTTTTGACAATACAATTTAGATTTAGATAACACAGAATTTATTTGAATATAAATTTCTGAAAAGAAAATCAACAGGAATTAGTGATATGCAAAAAAGATTATGAAGTAGGAGAGTCAGAGTTAATCTGTTTTTACCCAACTCCAACTTCTCTAGCAATGAATTTGCTTCAAACTCCAACTATATAACTGATTTCACAGCCCTACTGTAAACATACAGAAAATACTTAACAATTAATTGTTATTTAGGTTTTTTACTCTGTTAAAAAAGTTTTTTTGAAGATCTGTTCAGGAAGTTAGTCATTGATAGGACATTTACTTAAACAGTAATGATATATAATTTTTTGAAAACAATGCATTCTAATCTCATTCATGTGCAAGATCCTGAGTTAAAATTACTTATATTTAAGATTCCTGAAAATATTACAGTATAGAATTTTCATCTTTGATCAGTTTTCATTCAATGTTGAATATTTTTCAAATGTATTTGCAGTTATACATTGTTTAATTGGGCTGCAATTTGAAAAAATTGTAGATCTATAAATTCCCACTGTTGTCTGTCTGTCTTTCCTTTATATTGAGAACAGTTAGATAGGTGAAAGACAAGACCAGATATGGAAATCATAGTGGCAGGAGACCCCAATTAACTATATATGAACTTCCGATGCAAACTGAAAGTCATGTTATTTCAATTCAACATTTTCCCCTGAAAGGAGTTAGATAGATGACTGGCATGACTATTCTAATAGAAAAACTATGATGTACATGGGCAAGCCACTACTAATTTGAGGTGAAGAGCATATATTTTAAATGAAATAAATTAAAAATTGCAGCCCGGCGTTGTGACAAAGTCACAATAAATATTTGCTCATTGTTTTAACATCCTTTTTAATATTAATCAATAAAACCAGAATTTCCACTAATTGTAGTCTTATTTATTTAGCTCCATTAATATTACCAATTGTTTATCATCAGTAGCATAGACAAATCCCAAAGTGATTAAATAGTCACAAAATTTTTTTAACCAGTAATTGAACTTAAACTAAACTTCCGAAGGTTTTTGGCCTTCACCAAGGCCTGCTTCGGGTAATCAATTAAACTGGCACTCAAATTGGACTGTTAGAACAATGATGTTCGACTTTAAACTTTGTATACATCAAATTTCACACGTCTGATTGACTCTGTTTGAATTTCTCGAACAGGTATTTCCATGCATGCACAAGTCTCACTGTCTTTAAAGTTAATACAGTTGCCTTTTAAGTTGGCTTAAAAGGCTACTGGTTAAAAAAGTTTTGTTTGTGACTTTTTATTTCTCACTCCAGTATTTCTGAGAAAACTGTTATCCCAAAGTGATTGCAATAAGTTGATTCTATTGTATAAAAAGAAGATAAAATAACCCTATTTTTTGTATAGGAATGTCTAAAAGTTTAGCAGAATTACTGATTTTGCAATCACCAGCAAGAGAAAAGTGGATGGTGAAACATTCCTTTTATTTATGCTGCTAGATCACATAAGACACTAGATATTTTGTTCTCAAAATCATTTTCAGATATTGATTTCAGAGGGTTTGAGTAGCTTTCAAACAAAAAGTAGGAACTGAAAAAATCTGGTACTTGGTAAGATTTGAATTTGTCTGCAATGTGTGTCAATTAGATCTGATCAAAAGTATATAAAACAAGATACAGATTTTAAATATTTTGAATTTATTTTT